CTAGGCAATTACCCCAGGGAAATGAAAGCATATATCCATTTATTTTATGAGTAATTGTGTATAAATACTCATAGCAACATTAAGTAATAGCACTGGAATTACCCTCAAATTTCATTAGCAGGTAAATAAGGAAACAATTTTGGTATGTTTGTGTTATGGAAATATATCTCAGCAATAAAAAGGGTCTGAGCTATTGATACAGGTAACAAGGTGAGTGAATCTCCAGATAATATTGCTGACCACAGGAATCTAGACCTCTTCTCTACCAAAGAAGAGTTTGATTCTCTTTATATAAAATTTAGAAAATGTAAACTAATTTACATTGACTGAAATTAAATTGGTGGTTGCCAAGGGGCAGTAAGGAAGAGAGTAAGAGGAGGAAGAAAGAATGTTAAAGGGGCATGAAGAAACCATGAGTGTTGACTAGGTTCATTTCTTGTGAAAATTTTATGAATGCATTTTTCTAAATCTTATCCAATAGTACACATTATAATATATGTAGGGCTTTTTTTGTAAACTATACTTTAGTAAAGCTTTTTTTCAAACTACCAGATACCAGCTATGTCTTCCTAAGTTTAAAACTTTTAATTCTGAGGACTCAAATATGACAAGAAGCATTTAAATTCTCTTGGATTTAAAAAATATTTTTCCTGCAGTTTATACCTATATTTTGCTTTCATTTAATTTTTTAAAATTCTTTAAATGGAAACCAGTTTTTGTTGTTGTTGCTGTTGTTGTTGTTTTTGGTGAGGAAGTGGAGCAGTAGAAACATACATAATCTACTAGTAAGACCATAATTTGATGTCATTACTATGAAAAAAACATTTTCAAGTTAAATGTGTGCATGCCCCACTATTGAACAGTTCTCATTCTAGGTACATATGAAAATAGCAGTTCTAAACTGATTTCAAGACTCTTTTATGCTCTTAAGTTATTGAGGAACTTTTGTTTATGTATTGAGAGCTTTTGCTTATATCAGATATTTACTTTATTAGAAACTAAAATTGGGAAAGTTTTAAAATATTCATTTTTAAATGACAATAATAAACCTATTGACATGTTAACACAAATAATACTTTTAGGGGAAATCATTATTTTCCAAATGAAGAAAATTAGTGAGAATGGTGGTATTGTTTTATAATTTCACAACTCTCCTCAGTGTCTTTCCCAATAGAAGACTGATACTCTATTCCTATATTCAATCTGCTGGAATATATTATTTCATTTGAATACAGGAATAAAATCTGGCCTTACAAACATATGTAGTTAGAAATAGAACTATTTAAATAGCCTTTTCAGAAATTTTTGAATATTCTTCTTTGGTATTACACAACTGTCCAAGAGACAGTTTCTTTAAAAGAAGTTGCATTGTTGAATCTGAACCACATCAGTGAACATTTTGTATTCTGTCATATTAAAGTCTATTGGTCTGTCTTGTACTTTGAATGGATCTTTTACCCATGCATTATTTTGTAACATTATTCACTAGTCATTGGAAAATATTAGTTTATTGAGTTATTCACATCTTTCAAACATTTACACATTTCATTACATAATTATTGATAAATGAAATTAATGTCACCAATGATATCAAAAGATTTTCTGAAAACAGGAAATCTGTCAAGCTTGCTGTGGGAGAGTTGTTTAAAATTTTGATGCTTGTTTGAAAGATTAAATTTTGTCATTGATAACTAGTACTGTCATTTTCTTTGAAGTCACAAGCTCACTTTTTTTTATCTTTGAAAAAATATCTCCCACTCTGTTCTAAGTCTGAATCACTATAGTTTGAAGTCTGTCAAACATTTTTTAAAGTGAAAATAGTGGTTCAGGAAAAAAATAGTTAGTTCACCTCAATTCAATCTGGAGTTGCTTTGCTGTGAAACAGCTATTGATCCTTTTATGCATCACAGAAGTTTTACGCACACTTCCCATTTAGTGACATAGAGCAGGACAGGAAACATTTTCTATGAAGGCTCAGATAACAAATATTTTGGGCTCATGGATCACTGAGTTGAGTTGAAACTGAATTTGTTATAACTATTCAACTATGTCATTGTAGTGTGAAAGCAGCCTCAGATGATATATAAATAAATGAACATGGCTACATTCCAATAAAACTTTCCCAACATAGGAAATTGGCAAGATTTTCCCAGTAAGCATATAGTGGGCCAGCCCCTGATATAGAATATTAAAAGGATTAGTATAATAGCAGGGGCAGTGGCACATGTCTGTAGTCCCCACTACACTGAGACAGAGGCAGGAAGATTACCTGATTCCAAGAGTTTAAGACCAACCTGGAGAACAGAAAGACCCCATTTATATATATATATATATATATATATATATATATATATATATATATATATATAGAAAAATACACACAGTAACAGTTATTATTTTCATTAAATCTTGAAATATATATACATATGTATAGTTTGTGTCTCTCTTAAAACCAACTTTCCTGCACTTTCAATAAATAGCATTTATTAGACCATCAGCCCAGAAATCTGGAATGGTCCTAGATTGCTTTTCCTTTACTTGTAATATTCATTTGCTCACCTGCAAATCCAGTCAATTGTATCTCCTAAATATCTTTCTGCTCCTTTCATTATCTACTTCCATCTGCACTGCCTTCTCATCAGTTCAGTTTCACCTCTTTCATTCCTGACTCACAATGAGGCTTTCCAACAAACTGCTTTCCTATCTTATAGAACATCTTTCCATGCAAAGGAGATTGTTCCTTGTCCTGTGTCTCTCTTATACCTGGCATATGGTATTTAGTAGTTACTGAATAAAATGGTCATCTGTAAAAGCCAAGGGTTTTTTTTTTTTTGGGGGGGGGGGTATTTTTCTGCAGAAAGACTAAAAGGAGCTCCTCTTTATCCAAAAGATGAAATTCAATCTCTCAAGTGTGAAATATGACACTTTATTGTCCATTCCCTAACTCCTCAGCTTAAGTGTCCTCCTTCCTATATATCACACATACCTAGCCCACAGATCACTGTGGCTCTCCAAGGATACACACCTTTGAAGGACTTATACTTTGTACACTTGTTAAAAAATTTGACCTTCTCACTTTCTCCCATCCCATTGCTTACTTCAGGGACCCACTCAACTTTCCTTCCCCATAGATTCTTTCCTAATGCCCCCAATATATTCTCAAAATGCTCTGTGTATATAATAGTACTTACATATGATTATTTCGAGCACTCACTCTCTCAGACATTTTGTAGCTTTTATAATATTCTGAAAGGTAGTAATTATTTGCCCATTTGAAAGATGAAGGCTTGAGTTAAAGAGAGGTTAAATAATTTTTCCAGATTACACATTTAGTTGGGTTTGAGCTGGGCTCTGGATCTGGGTTTTCTGCTCTATCATGTTGACTTTCTTTACTCATCTCTTATAGGATTTTAGCTCTTACTACATGTATTTGTCTCCTCTGTGTTTATAGAACCCAGTTCAATAATAAAATGAGCAGAAGATTTGTGACTGGCACAGAATCTTAAGGACAAAGTAGATACATGATATAATCTCAGGAAACCATATTATAGCATAGTGAGTTTTTCTTTTTCAAAGAGGTATTTATGTTTTGGGGAAGAATGTTTTTTGTACATTTTGCTCAAAAATCATTTATTGTGCAGAGCTCTGAAGCACTGTACAGGAAACAGACATTAACGTGACAGCCTCCATCTTTAAGGAGTTTTGGTGTGGCAGGTTTGCATCTAATGTAAAAAAACAGCAGGAACAGAGTGATTCTGGTGTTAAATTAGAGGGTGTTCACATGTGGGACTGTATTTAAAAAAAGTACCAGGAAAGCTTTCCTGAAGGATGAGTAGAATTGCAATGAAAGCAAATACTGGGAAAATATTATGTTGACAGTATAGGAATGAGTGAAAACTGGAATTTGAAATAAATATAAAGCATATGTAATTTATATATATTTATTTTAATCTTCCCCATTTATAATTCAAACAATTACTAATATCCTTAAGTTTAAGCAATAAGAGCCACTTCAGTGATGGACTGTCAATTTTTGCAAACCTTGTTTATTGTGGATAAAGATAAAGTAAATGTGTAGCTTAATGATTATTGGGTGTGAATTTTGAGTAAGAAAAAGGGTGGATTCGTCTCTGCATTTGTTGCATGGGATGTCCTAGGAATTGGGGTATCACATGTGGTTCTCTGCAGGGTGGATATGGCTTATAATAAAACCCATGCTGTATATGCTGTCCTAAGAAGTCCTTCTGTGCCATGGAAACACTCACCACTGCATTGCCCCGGTGTGGCTTAGATTCTGTTCTTTTGTTCTTTATCACATGACCTTTATTTGCCCCAGATAACTTTTTGACACTAAGCACTTTTTTTGAACACTGAGCACCCCGTGTTTAGCACTATATTATCCCCACTATACCTGGAGTCATATAGATATGGACATGAATATATTTTAAAGGTTTTACTGTCTTATAAACTCAGGTCAAATCATAGTAATTTAAAGCATGCATGATATTCTATGAAAGCTTAGATAAACATAATGGAATTCTTTTTTCTTTGCTTTTATTCTGACACTCACATGATAAGTATATTAATTAGCACTCTTCAAAATTAATCCCAGTGATTAATTTTAGCTATCATGCTTCAAAAAACACGTTTAAGTTTTTGCCTTCAAATGGTGTTTAGGATAAGTGCCTATACATTTGAGACATTGTTTTTAGAGCAAAACAAGATTAACATAAGTCTTAGCTCTCCTGAAGTTTGTAATTTAAAAAATAATATCAGTCCAAGAAAAACAGATAAAATTCAGAAAAGAATTCAACTAAAAAAAATAAACTCATAAATAAATACATTGGGTAAATAATGTACTTACTGTGTCTATTTATAAAACTATTATGGTTTAATTTTTAAACCAGTAATTTAGTGAAGAGGATTACATATTTAAAGTCTGAAGTGAATTTGTATATTTAATGGTTAACACCATTGATTCATGTCTTTTATTTTTGTAGACTTGATCCAGGCTACCAATGAGACCAATGTTAATATCCCTCAGATGGCTGACACGCTCTTTGAGCGAGCAACAAATAGCAGCTGGGTGGTTGTGTTTAAAGCTTTAGTGACCACACATCATCTCATGGTGCATGGAAATGAGGTAAGCTAGATAAACTAATTTTGGGGAGGAGGTGGATGGGTAGAGGAGGAAGGCATTTATGGAAGAATATGGCATGTTAAAAGAGTATGGCTCTTTAAATTTTTGTTAATTTGGAAAAGAAGAAATCCATGGTTCAAAATCACCTGGACAAAATCATAATCTTTGGGGCTGGGGATGTGGCTCAAGCGGTAGCGCGCTCGCCTGGCATGCGTGCGGCCCGGGTTCGATCCTCAGCACCACATACAAGCAAAGATGTTGTGTCTGCCAAAAGCTAAAAAATAAATATTAAAATTCTCTCTCTCTCTCTCTCTCTCTCTCTCTCTCTCTCTCTCTCTCTCTCTTTTAAAAAAAAAACATAATCTTCCATTTGGTTATTTTTATAAAAATAAATTTTAGGTTAGAGCTGGTCTTAGAGATACCAAAATACTAAACATTACTTGTGCCTAAAACATAAATACTATATAAGCCTATTAGTGAGGAAAAAATTGTTGTTAGGGTAGAAAAGCAATAAGACTATTTTCCCCTTAGAAAATGTTCCTTATTCCTTTGAGTGAAAATGGCTGTTATAAAATACTGAATTTTGGAAAATAATGATAAAATTACAATTATTCCTTTTGTATGGAATACCTACTAAATTCTGTGAAATTTTCAGTATTCCTATTACATGCAGAAATTAAAGATCATAGAATTTAATTCTAATTTAGTGGGTATTAGTCAAAGTTTTTCTCCCTTAGAGAACATCAGAAAAATATAAAGCTTTATGACCAATAAAAGAGATCACAATGAAAATTTGTTTAAAAAAAAAACTTCCCTTTGGTCAAAATTTTTTAAAGGTCTGATTTGATAATACAGACATTTAATTCTAATTTTTGTGTTTCAGAGATTTATTCAGTATTTGGCCTCTAGAAATACATTATTCAATCTCAGCAATTTTTTGGACAAAAGTGGATCCCATGGTGAGAATATTTAAATAATTATCTTTTCTAATGCTTTGAGTTTAATGGGAGGTTATTAATGCAGAATCACTGCAACTCATAGCTTAATAAATATTTATATTTATATTTTAAGAAAAATATAAAAGTAACTATATAAAAGTAATTTTTAAATATTCAATTGTAGACAACTCCATATTAATTTTATTTTTTATCATTTTTGATGTTCACTTTAAAAATTAACTGTGGGTATACTAGACCCATAGATTGCTTATGAAGGTGCAGAAGACAGTGAAATGAAAGATGCCATCTAAATTTTTTTTAAATGATTTAAATATTAAAGAAATTTTCTTTATAGATTTATAGAGTTTGAACTGCAATCATCTGTTCATTCACCATACTTACTAGCTGTCTATATGGCGAACACATCAAGCAGGTAGACTATTAGCAGAGGGCTACTTGGATTAAATATGAAACATGTTGTTATTGAAACAGTGAACAAACATGCAAGGAAAAATCAGAAGAGACATTGTGTACAAGGATGGTTGAATAACTAAACTAGTTATTCCTTTTTGGCTCTGGAAATAGGAATTTAAATGAGGTCTGCTGATACACTATTTGACCTCATCATTTAAGGAGTTAAAAAAAATTCTTAGTACTACACAGCACGACTGAAAGTATCTTATTAATTAATTTTATTTCCTCTCCCTTCTCCCCTAGGTTATGATATGTCTACCTTCATAAGGCGCTATAGTAGATATTTGAATGAAAAGGCTTTCTCATACAGACAGATGGCATTTGATTTTGCCAGAGTGAAGAAAGGGTATGATATTTTTCTTTCCCATGTTTACTGGAGCAGGATACGTCCTTGAAGCATACTTGATTTATTTTAACGAAGCTTATGTGCCAATTAATTTTGATCATGAAGGCCTAGTTTACAACCACCTGAAAGATGATCAATAAATAATGTTATAGAAGTTAGCCATGAGGTTGCCATATGCATTACTTTGTTTATATCTTCATGCAAAGAAAATCTGAGTAGCTGCTCAGAGTTTACATGGTCTGAAATTTTATTTACTAAAATTAATGCCAAATTCTTAAACACATGAACACCTTTAATTGAAGAGGGAGAGAATTGGCTAGACGTATTTAAAAGTAGAGTGGCAGTAGATGACAATAGCTATTTCAGTGGGTTTTGAGGTAAAAATTAAAATGCATGTGTTGTGGAATCTGTTTTGAAAGAAGTTATACTGTCCTAAGAAATAAACACATTTCATAATCATACTAATTATTAATATTACCTATTGATTAGAAAACCTCATTGAAATACTTGAATTTTAATCCATAATTACATTTATTTACCTCTAAATAGATGTTTGAATCTCGTCAAGAGTGTTCAGCCAAAAGTTTGTACACATCTTTTATCTGTTCCTAACTTAAAATAATGGTAAGGTATTGTAGAAGGTTTAATATTTTTATTTTCAGGAACCCACATGAAAAGATATATCTGTATCTTTGTCATAGCTGACCTAAACTTAACTTTGAGCTACCTTTTCAGCATACTGATGGAAAATGCAAACTTGCCTTCTCAAAATATATCAGTTTCTTCTAGGTGAACACTTCACAAAACTAGGGTTTTTTTCCTGTATCCCCTTATCATTAGAGATGATTCTAGATCATACACCATCCTCTGACTTCTGCCACCATTCCTGATGTTCTCAGTTTATTGTGACTTCTCTGTAATATGTCCATGACCTTCTTAGAAGACAGTGCACCCCCGTGTGGGCCCTTAAGGACACTCTGGAATGCTTTCTCCAGTGCTGGGAAGGGAGAGACTCTAAAGGTGACCATTATCAACCTGGGTATTTCCTTCAGCTGTTGTGATACTGCCACTCCTTGACCATTGCTGAATGCAGGGACTCCCTAAGAGGTTTGCAGATGTATATAGGGCACACTGTCCCTTCTGATGCCCCCTCCAGCACCAACCTCCAGTCGGATATTCTACCGCTAAACTGCCATCTCCATTTGAGAAACAAGTACGTGCCAACATGCATTTCCTCACTGGCTGATGGTAGCATTCCCAGGCCTACAGGTTTTGTAGACTTCCAAGACATGTTATCTCTTTCTCAAAAGAACAAAAAAAATGGCTATTATTTGTGTTACAGATTTTTAGGTATCTATTCAAAAATTCAACTGACCTCTTTTATCAGACTGCATTGCTTTTCTGCCTGAGAGTAGTGTAGATAGAAAGAAAGCATCACTTGTGTGGTTGAGGATTGAGAATGCACAAGAGGATATAGGAATGGGAAATAGCCACAACCTCATAATGCTTCATGTTGACCTCACAAGATGAACATGAACATGGGAAGGGGGTATAGCTTGGAACAGTGTGTGTGTGTGTGTGTGTGTGTGTGTGTGTGTGTGTGTGATGTATATCTTGGATTTCCCATAAGCAAGGAAGTTTTATCCTTTTCTTTTTAAAACTTATTGTAGGGCTGATGGCGTAATGAGGACAATGGCTCCTGAGAAGCTACTAAAGAGTATGCCAATACTGCAGGGACAAATTGATGCACTTCTTGAATTTGATGTATGTATCTCACCAGAAAAATGTTCCTTATATAATCAGTATTGTCTTTCCTTTGAAGATGGGCTACAGGTAAATCCAGAGATTTCCTCAGGAAGCAGCTTTAGGTTTTTTTCTTCATTTTAGTAAATTTGATGAATACTTAGACCGTTAAGCACAATAGAGAGGATTTTGGTACCCCAGTTTGGAAGTAGCTTGTCAAGTGTTTAAGTCATGGAAAAATATGAGTGCTGAATTCTTGGAACCTTCTGTTCTGAGCAGGATGGTGGCCTCCTATTGTGCTTGACAGGATGAAGTATCTACGAGATGTTACCTGCAGGCAGCTAACTTACTTGATCTGCTGTTGAAAATCATTTTATGGGGATAGCTTAGGTGACACTGCACCAAAGAGAATTATCTTTGGTTCTTCCTGGCAATGTCAGTGATTGGTGTCCTAAATATATATCTGTATTTGGCTGTGGTGGCAGCAGCTACACTAAGCCACGCATGTGATAAAGTCACATAGAACTAATTACATACACACTCACAAATGGGTACAAGTAAAGCAGGGAATTGGAAATGATTGGTTGATTGTGTCACTGTCAATATCCTCATTGTCGTATTGTTTTTGACTATAATTTAAGATGTTCACTTTGGGAGAAACTGGGTAGATGGGATATGAGATCTCCCTGTATTACTTCTTAAAACTGCATGTGAATTTACAGTTACCTCCAAATAAAAAATTTAAGTAAGAAAACCTGACTCATGAAAATAAGACATTTTTTTCACATGTTGGAAAAATTTTAACTCACTTCATCAGCTTTTCTGTATTTTGATAGTTGCCTAAAACAAAGGCTTTCCTCAAATATTAGAAGCTTAAAGTCTCTGTTAAGATTATGTGACTTAGTCTATAATTGAGCCCTGTCATACCACCTAACTCCTGTGAAATTTCAGTAAAGGCAGCAAACCATCTTGTTGGTTTTGATAGATTTTACAGTAAGGACTTAACTACATATCTATGGAATGAGTTGCTTCTCTTAATTTTTTTTCCTTTCCATTTATTTTCCTTTGCTTTATTCGCCCTTGGTAAGGGTTTTTTTTTCTGCCTTAAAGGAAAAAAGTCATAAAAGCAGTGGGGGGTAGAGGGGACAAAGTCTAAGAATTGTGAACAAAGACTGAGGAGTGGGAAGAAAATATTCTTCTTTGTTGGTAATGGCATATTTAGTGAATGGTTGAATGGCTGTGAGTCTCAGTGTTTTAGAAGTAGCTGGCTAACAGGCTGGGATTGTGGCTCAGTGGTAGAACACTTGCCTAGCGTATGTGAGGCACTCGGTTCAATTCTCAGTATCGTATAAAATAAATAAAATGATGATCTATTGACAACTAAAAAAAAATTCTTTAAAAAAAGAAGTAGCTGGCTAAGATACACCCCCTCCATTCTTCCTGAGATCACTACAGGCTCCTTGAGCCTGAACCTTCATGGTCACAGAGTCTTTAAGATAGGGGTAATGGAAGAAATGTAATTTAACCTTGTAAAAGTAATAGAAAATCAGGTGTTCAAACACTGAATTTGACTGATCTGTGGTTTATTGGTCAACAGAATGTGTACACATCTTTAACAGGCCTGGTTTCATTGACTTAAGTTAAAGTAAAAACTAAATGTAAAACAAGATGCCATCCATCTTTTGATATTATTAGTGTTACTAAAGTTATAACATTTGTAGAATACAAGTGAATTTCTTAGTAATTGGATTTCTTAGTAAAATTACACTTTAATGTGATTTGGGAAAAATATTGACTTGATGATATGCAGCTGACATTAAATTTTCATCTGTTTCCAGGTGCATCCAAATGAACTAACAAATGGTGTCATAAATGCTGCATTTATGCTTCTTTTCAAAGATCTTATCAAACTTTTCGCTTGCTACAATGATGGAGTTATTAACTTGCTCGGTAGGTGAAACTACATAAACTTGATGGGCTGATGGGATATGTGGTAAGACTGACAAACTCTGTGGGATGAGTCTGTTGTCTCACTTCTTGTGCAATAAAGTGAACCTTGGCAGGGGCAGTGTTGTGTATGAAACCATGATCCTGAATAGGTCCACAGGTGATGGTGCTAGCAGAGCAATGTGGGCTAGAGAAGGACATTCATTTTTAAGATTATCAGTGTAGAGAGTTTGCTACTGTCTTCTCAGGTAAAAGGAATTAGTCATCAACCTGTTCTTTGGTAGGGAGCTGTCTCTCTGGACTAGGATGCTATGATGGAAGGTTAGCATTGATCTTGGGCATTAAGTGACTGAGGACTCAGTGGTAATGATAGACATTATCAGCCTTGTGGGTGGGAAGCCTGTGTCATTCAGCCTATTCACAACTTCCAATTCTGACATCATGGCCACTTCCTATAGTGTTTTCTTTTCTCTGATTATTGAGAGCCTGTTTGTTTTGCATTCACATGAGATAAAAGTAATCTTGTGCTATTTATCTATTCTGAAGGTCCATCCACTATCATTTCCCCAAACCTTCTTGTCACCATGCTTCAATTTAATTTTTCCAAGTCCCTTGTCATCCAGGTCAATCATTGATTTGATGTAGTTCAATGTGCCTTGTCAGCTTTCCTTTGACATAAAGTAGAAAATCGGATACACTGCTGAAAGTTCAATTTAGTAGGAAGATTTCTTTCTACTGTCAAGGTCATCCATTTGTGGAGATATGATTCATCAGATCACTTCCAGCTGGTTCTAGCATGAGGAGCTAGAACCATTCTTCAGAAGCTGGTCATAAGGAGCTCCCCAGAGGCCATAGATATGATTTGAGGGAGATGTGGACAAAACAGCAATATAGAAGAGAGAGTAGTTACACTGGGAAGATAAACCTTCTGTTCATACAACCTACCTGCTGATTCATGACCTCCTTAAAACTGATCTCTTACTAAAACTTCCATTTAATAATGGAGTATACTTGTACTTATTCACCTTTATGGTTTTGTACATTAAATAACACCAAATTTAGGTCTGAGGATCACTTAAAGTTCTGTGATCAGAATCTCAGTCTCTAGAAATAAAACAACAACAATTTTTCCAAAGGAGTTGCTATCTGAAGATGTGGCTCTGCTCTAAAGCACAAGAGGCCTGTACTGGAGCATGCCAGAGGCATTCTATAATATTTAAATCTGCTGCAAACATCTTGAGTACCTTTAGATCTCAAAGAATGAAGCCCATGTAGCTTCAGGCTGGAGTAACTGTGGAACCTGGGATAAAGAAGAGCATTTCACAATGACAGAGGGGTCAATTATCCAGGAAGACATAACAGTCCTTGGTGTGTATGCACCTAAAATCAGAGCATCAAACTACATGAGGCAAAAACTGACAGGTCTGCAAGGAGAGAGAGATGAATCCACTAGTAAAACTGGAGATTTTACCACTCTATCAGAAATGGACAAATCCCCCAGGAAGAAAATCAGTAAGGACATATTTGAACTTAACAACAACAATGGAATATAATTGACATCTACAGATTATTTTATCCAACAGCAGCAGACTACACATTTTTCTCAAGCTTGCATGGAACATTCATCAAGACAGATCACAATCTGGGCCATAAAACACATCTTAACAAATTTAAAAGAATATAAATAATATAATGTCTGCTTTTAGGTCACAAATAGCATTAATCTAGAAATCAGTAACAAAGAAACCCCTGGAAAATCCCAAAATAGGTAGAGATGAAGCACCATACTTCTAATTAACACATGAGTCAAAGAAGAGTTCTCAAGAGAATTAAAAAATAGTTTGAACTAAATGAAAACAAAAACACAATCTATCATAAAATGGGGGCTGGGGTTGTGGCTCAGTGGTAGCGCGCTTGCCTGGTATGCGTGGGGCACTGGGTTCGATTCTTGGCATCACATACAAATAAGTAGAATAAAGGTCCATCAACAATTTTAAAATATTTTTTTAAAAAATCCATCATAAAATGTGGGATTCAGTAAAAAGCAGCACATAGAGGAAAAATTATAGCATTGAATACATTTACTAGAAAAAAATAAAGGTCTAAAATTATTCACCTAAGCTTCCACCTTGGGCAATGAGAAAAAGAAAAGAACATTATCCAAAGTAAGAAGAAAAAGAAATAGTAATAAATTAGAGCACAAACCAATAAAATCAAAAACAGAAAATCAACAGAGAAAATTAATAAAACCAGAAGCTGTTTCTTTGAAAAGATTGATAGAAGATCAAGTCTCTTGCCAGCTAACTAAAAGAGGGGGCAGGGAGGAAGGTTACTTTACTAATATCAGAAATAAAAAGTAGACATCTCTACAAATCCTACAGACCTGAACAGGATAATAAAAGAACACTATGAGCAACTCTGTGCTCACAAATTTAATAACCTACATGAAAAATTTCTCAAAAGACACAGTCTTCCAAGATTTACACAATAAGAAATAGGCAATCTGGGCTGGGGTTGTGGCTCAGTGGTAAAGCGCTTGCCTCGCATGTGTGAGGCACTGGGTTTGATTCTCAGCACCACATATAAATTAATAAATAAATAAAAGTCCATCAACAACTAAAAAACATTAAAAAACAAAGAAATAGGCAATCTGAATAGGCTATAATGTACAAAAGAAATGGGATCAATAATTAACAACCTTCTAAAATAGAAAGCACCAGACCCCAGATGGATTCACTGGTAAATTCTACCAAACATTTAAATGAAAAATTATACCAGTTTTTTACAGTCTGCTCCAGAATATAGTAGAGTAGGGGATGTTCATAATGGGTGAGGCTATGCATGTGTGGAGTCAGGGCACATCTGGAAAATCTCGGTCCGGTCCATGTCCATTTCATTTTGCTAAAACTTTGAAAAAAAAAAAAAAGGAAAAAGTCTTAAAACAAAATTGGGCATGTCCCTTTCCCATATGCACACTCAATCTGGTTAAGGTCCCTGTGCGAAGACCTGGAAAAAGTACATTCAACAGTGTTCATCAGGACCTTCATCAGGATATTCGGGCTTCACTAAACTTCTATTGCTGGACCTGGCTCAGAATTTCTAATCCAGGAGATCTGAGGTGGGGCTTAAGAATTTGCATTCCTAATAAAGTCCCAAATAATGCTGTTCCTGTTGGCTTGAGGACTTCAATTTGGAAACCACTATAATTAGAGCCACTACCAGATGCAGGAGACTTGAACCCACACTTTTTTGCATGATCACCCAAATTGATAATTATTAATTACATTAAAAATCTAATATAATATTCTTTCCTGCCTAGCAGCTTTAGAATCCATTCTAATTCTCCAGATTTTTGCCTTAAAGTTAAGGTTGCTAGATTCAGACAAGTACTCTCTTCCCCCTTTTTTTCCTGAATAAACACCCTAACTTTCACAAGAGAGACCATAGCGAGGCTGTCTGAAACTTTCCCACCTATGCAATAATTCAGTAACTTACAAGATCAGACTCCTGTCTGACTTTCAGCTATGACAACCTGTGGCTGCAAGAGATAAGATTATTTTAGGGGAGGAGTGCCTTTGTCTGAACTTGCCTTAAACCAATAATTCAAAGTCCTGTGTTTTCATTTTCTTTTTTAAGCTCTCCAGTGGAGACCGGAGCAGCTGTCCACTCCGTGTTTCCATTTGCCTTGTTCCTGTTGTGGTGCCTATCCCATGGTTTGATAAATTTCATTCCAACTGCTCATTTCACAAAAACTTAGGTGATAATTTAAGTAATTGACTTGCTCCTGTATAGAGCATGGACTTTAAGAATCCCATTTTCCATTAGACATAGGGGATGATCACTTTCATATCTAATTGGGTTACATATCTAACCCCAAGTTTCTATATTTGACAATTTGAAAGTCTGTTTTCTGTGTCTAATTCAGGTACCAAATACTGTGTCTATTCAAGAAACAGAAACTCCTCCCATTATTCTAAATAGACAGGAATTTAATGAAACCTGAAGCTATAATGCAGGGATTGAGGAGTCATATCAAGTAGCTGTGGCTTTAATCATTACTCCTCAAAATCCAAGAAGCCAGCTGGGTGCAGTGGCACACGCCTGTAATTCCAGCAGCTCTGGAGGCTGAGACAAGAGGATCACTAGTTCAAAGCCAGCCTCAGCAACAGCGAAGCACTAAGCAACTCATTGAGACCCTGTCTCTAGTAATCAAAAAAGGGCTGGGGATGTGGTTCAGTGGTTGAGCGCGCCTGAATTCAATCCCTAGTCCCCCCCCAAAAAAAAAAAAAATTCAAGAAGCTGGGGTAGAAAGTAAAATGCTATTGGAGAATTATTTCACATGTTGATGATCTTACCTATCACAAGCAATAGCTGAAAAGGCACAGAAGAGGAACATCTCTTCAGTGTTAGCTTCCAGATCTCCCACAGGTCTGTCTCATTTGTAGTGCTAAATTTGTACCCAGAACCCTGGCTTCAGAAGAATCCAGAGAGAGAATGAAGGTCTGATGCACCAATCATCAGCATCAAAGTGGTCTTAAAGGTTTTATCTTTAGTGGGTAACAATTCTTGCCTTACATGCAAAGTTTAAAACCAAATATATCTTTGCATCAGGTCAGAGATTTTATCAGTAAATCAGATAGAGTAGAATTTCCTATTATCTTTCGCTGGCTACACTTCTCCTTCCCACTCATAAATGAGAGCTTTTGCTAAAGTTCACTTCTAGCCATTTACTTATCTGCTTTTTCTGTATATTTTTCATTGGGAAACACACACACACACACACAACTATTATCTCTATTTTGATGAGCCTCAAATCCATTATTGTAGTTCTTACCTTTCTTCTGAACTTCAGTTTTGCATGTCTTAGTATTTGTGGACACTTAAATTTAGATGTTGTGTTCTTACCTAAAACTTAATATCTAAAACTGAACTTTTAAACTTACCCTTCCTAATCTCCTTATTTCTGTTTATATATAATTAGTCTTTTAAACCTGAAACATCAGTTATCTTTGAGTTACTCATCTTCCTGAAATCCACAGCCAGTCAGAAAAAATTCTCTCATCTTGTTTTATTGCCATTTTTGCTTCAGGAACATGGATTTAGTGTCTTTGTAATTAAACATGTTCAGTCATGTGATTCTTCTCTAGTGTTGTCCTGAACAGCTACTTAAAGATGTTCTACTCTACTTTCTCTTTATGAAGACTTCAGAGAGAGATGTTGTTAAGAATGCAGTTAGTTTCTCTTTACATTAAAATAATAACAATTCAAGTGCTGACAGTGTGGCTTAGTGGTAGAGCATTTGCCTAGCATGGGCAAGGACCTACGTTCAACCCCAGAAATTCCCTACGCACAAAACAGGAAAATAATAACCACTCAAGACTCCCCCTCCTTTGGTACCAGGGACAGAACTCAGGGGCACTTAACCACTAAGCCGCATCCCCAGCCCTTTTTATATTTTATTTTGAGACAGGGTCTCCCTAAGTTGTTAAGTGTCTTTCTCAGTTGCTGAGGCTGGCCTTGAACTTTCTATTGTCCTGCCTCAGCTTCCCAAGTCACTGAGATTACAGGCGTGCACCACCATATCCAACCATTCAAGACATTTTGTTAAATGTAACTTGAAAATGTTAGTCTACTGGCTATGTTAGTAGCACAAAGGGAGGAAAGTTGTGCCTTTTTCTATTAAAGATTTTTCAAAAGTGGTGGAAATATGTGTTCTTGCCTTGTAACATTGTGGTGAGGTGCTGCCTTCATTCAGCATTGTCAAACTGCTCTTGTTGAAGTTATCTAGAACACAGATATGCAAGAGACTATCCTCACTGTTTTGAGGCAAGTATGTTTTTTGTTTACCAGATAATGCTAGAAACTAAACTTATAAATATTTTGTGGGTTAGTTTAATAAAGGACTACCTGACCAGTACTTTACAGGTAATGTTAGGATCAGTTTTGGTGCTACAAATCTTCACAAATGTTTTATCACTATCATGAAACTTACTTCCAAGAAAAACGTTCCCAACAAATAGGCATTAGTAATAATGGAAAAATCTAAGCTTGTCTCTCAAGAATGAGGTCCCTTTTCATTTGGTTTCTTTCCTAGGTTACCCTTCAAAAATTAATACTAATATGCAAAGGAGATTTATCAGAACTTTGCAAATATTCATGTTACAAAGGTCAAATGTGATCATTTCAAATACTGAAAGATGTGTTATCTTCAGTATAAAGAAATATAGAGTGTCATTTTGGGGTGACCTATCCCTTCTGTAAAAGTAGTATTTTCTCTAGATCCTACCCTGGTCTCTGAGAATAAGGGAACCTCATATGTAACTATATAGTACAAGCTTTGCGTATGTAAGTATATAGTACAAGTTGTCTTTCTGTGTTGTTACCACTATTATAGAAACAGCTATGAGATTATAACCTAAAGCTATAGTGATTTAATGTGTTTTTTTTCTAAATCCTAACTACCATGGAAAATACAGAAATCCAGAAGAGACAGAGAAAAAAAATTTTTTTATTTTGATGCAATAGTTTATTTTTTTACTTTGTTTTGTTTTTTACTGTATTGGGAATCAAACCCAGGGCTCATGCATGCTACACACTGAGCTACATCCCTAGCCCTTAATGCATTAGTTCTAAAGGGAAATCTAGATTTTTCAGTTTGTGTCATTGAAGATTAAATAAATAAATTTAGATTATAGTAAAAAAGTAATTTAGATATATGAAATTGTTTATGTGAAGATTGTTTATGAAGAGAGGGAAAATTATATTTTTCCATAATAAGTTCTTACTTTCAAATTTTTAGATGAAAAAAAAAGATTTCTTATAGTGTCATGATTCTATTGATAGCATTGGGAAAACAGGGTAGAGTAGATAAAGAAAATATCCTCAAATTTAGCCACTTTTTGAAAACCTCACTTGTCTCTCAAATCTTAACAAGTAAAAAACAGTGAGTGTTTCTTTTCTTGATCTTTTGGCTTCCCTTAAATACCCTACAGGGGAGGTCTGTGTTAAAAGTAAAATTACCTGAAGACTGTCAACAGAAGGTAATGAGTAGCTGTCCTACGTAATTAGTTCTTTGCATAATTATATATTATTAAACTTTTCTTGAGAAAATTAAAAATACTTTGAGGTAGTAAAATTACATATTGAATGACATAAAGAACTCCCAGTTATGAAAGACTATAAAAGTAGCATGTGTTTAATCATTTGCAAATATAAAATAATGGACTTATAAAGAAGATACTTGGCCATCAGTTATATTTCATTGCTCTGCTGTGTTGCCATCTACAATGTCAATAATTATTGACTGAATGAATAAAGTGCTGGTTTTCCTTAAAACATAGATGAGAAAAACACATTTTCATACTGCAATTATAACAGAGCTATGCTACCTTAATGATTGTGAATTCTAGTGTTGGAAGTGCAAAAGAGAAAAGTGAAGTAATTCTATCTTTTTTCAGTCTATAAGGTTGAGAAAAAGAATTATAGGCTGCAAAGTCATAACAGGTTTGGTAAACCAAATGTTATTCATAAAACTCCTCTATTTTGGAAAGATCAGTAGAGTGAACAAGGCGATTGAGGGGGAGGAGAGAGGGATAGAAAAGGGAAGAGCAATGGGATGAATCTGACCAAACTTCAAACTTGCAGATGTACGTACATGAATACAGCACAGTGAATCCCAGTATCAAGTATATCCACAAGATACTACTTTTATTTCTTTATTTGTTCTTTTAGATAGATATTATTCATAAATGGAATGTAACGTCCCATTCTTGTAGTTGTACATGATGTGTAGTTTCACTGATTGTGTATCCATATATGAACATAGGAAAGTTATGTCCAATTCATTCTACTGAGGTTTCTAGTCCTATTCCCCCTACCCTTCATTCCCATTTTGTTCTTCCCTCCACCCCGCCTTATTGTGCGTTAGCATTTGCATTTTAGAAAGAACATTCAGCCTTTGGGATTTTGGGATTGGCTTATTTTACTTAGCATGATAGTCTTCAGCTCCACCCATTTACCAGCCAAAGTCTCATACTTTTTTTAAGGCTGAGTGATATTCCATTGTGTATATATACCACATTTTCTTTATCCATTCGTCTGTTGAAGGGCACTTAGGTTGGTTCTATAGCTTAACTATTGTGAATTGATCTGCTATATACATTGATGTGGCTTTGCACAAGACACTAATTTTTAACAGCTATAAATAAATTGCACACAGATCAGTAGAGTAGAGGGAGGGGAGTGGGGAAGGAGGGGGAGGAGGAAGTGCCAGGGACTGAATTAGAGAAAATTATATTCTATGCTTTTTTGTTATGTCAAAATGTATCCTATTGTTTTATATAACTAAAATGAATCAATAAAAAAGGTTTAAAAAACCCTCTATTTTATAACAAAAATATATTATAATGTTTGAAAGAAATCATTTTTGACTCATAAAAGCAGCTATTAATTTATATAGAATATAGAATACAGAAAATTTAAAGAATTCTTTAATTCAGAAAGATTTACAGATTATCAACCTACTATATAGATAGATAGATAGATTGATTGATTGATTACTGGTTTATAATGACCTAGTAATAAAATAGGAATGCTGTAGAATACAGTCAGAAAATTTGAGGCTGTTATTAGAAAGAATTTGCTATTTTCTAAGACTAAATACTGTGATATATAGATCATGAATTGAACCTTTTAGACAGTTCATGTATCCTTCTACTTTAACTTTTTATTATTCAAATAATCTCATATGAGATATATGACTATGTTAAACCATACACCTTTCTTAAACTACTCAGTTCCCTTGTTAATAATTATAGGTTTTGGTGCCAAGTGTTTTGATTCAAACATTAAGCTTTACGTAGTAATCCCAACATAAGCTTGGAATAAAATAGAATACTCCTTTCAAATTGCTTATTACTTTATCTCTTATAGAAAAGTTTTTTGAAATGAAGAAAGGACAATGTAAAGATGCTCTAGAAATTTACAAACGATTTCTAACTAGAATGACACGGGTATCTGAATTTCTCAAGGTTGCAGAGGTAAGTAATATCAATCTTTTTGGGGAAATGTAATTTTAAAACTACTAGTTCATGTATCTATAGTGTATAGCAGAATGCATAATTTGGCAAGATATCTGCCACCAAGTCACAGTGATTGGGCTCAGAGTGGCCTTAGAAGTCATCTCACCCAACCTGTTATTCAGAGCTGTAACCTACACAACCTTCTAATCAAATGATGAATCTACAATCTTTCTTGTCAATAAGATCATTTCTGCATTGCAAGATGGTCCTTTGCAAGATACTTTATCCTCCCTAATGGCTATTTTTTATTCCTCATTACTGAACCCTAGAAAAACCAATTGTTCATTGTTTTAGAAAAACCAATTGTTCATTGTTCTTAACATGTAAGTCATAAATTCTGACCTTCCTTACATTGTCAATGATTGATGCACAATGAAAAATAAAACACAAAGGATAATTCATTTTATAAAGTTTATAAATTGTTTCTTTAGGATATTTCTTTATACCTAATCATAATAACCATAATTATACAGTTTGTGATCCTGAGGCTATCTGTAAGTTGTTATTTTTTTTTTACAAAATCCAATTATTGAATTTATAATACTGGTTTGAAAATTTTAATATTGCTATTGTAGTCTTCTGGAAGGATGATCCATGGGTTTTTATCTCACATGACAACTAAATGATTGCTAGAGACTAACCAAAGTGCAGTGTGACGTAAATCTGAGGCTCAACAGCAAAACATACAACACCATGGGTTGTGGAGCATTGATGCCATCCTGTGTTATTTATCATTCTGAGAATATAACCTAAGGACACACGTTTTAGACACACAATTTCAAAAGTGCCATAAGGCACTCATTATCTTTCAGGCCTCATTTATTCACAGTAGTAGTAATTGTCTCACTCAAATGAGATCAAAATACTATCACAAAATGCAGATTCTTTAACTTCAACACATATAATACATAATCAGAATGAAAATCTGTTTTAACAAATAATATGGGAAGTAAAAGATAAATATGAACTTATATAGGTTACCTATACACTAAATCAAGCATGTTTATGTGTGTTTACTCTTGGATTTACTGATGTTGGTTGTCATTAAGAAAGAATAGGACTGCTTAAATTTTTACTTTTGCTACTACATAGATTTTATTGTCTATTTGGTATGATTTTCCCATGGTTTAACCATAATTATCAGTAAATCTTGTAGAATTATGCCCAAGCACTCAGAGCAGAAGATTATTTCATTGTTCCACTAAATCCTGAGGCACATGCCCCTCAATCTTCCCCTTTGTTACTGGGTGTGAGTAAGGTCCTGGACATGTGACAGTCTGAGGAATATACTTCTCTAATCAGCAGAAAGGCTGGGCTCAAGAGCTCCATGAGAAAAGGGCTGCTTATTTGTCCACTCTTATTTTTACATGTAAATTTGATTTTATTTGTGCCTATTGATACCTCGTGTTAGCACTAGCTAAACTTAGGCCATTAAAAGAGTCTGTCTTTAAATAACTGAATAATGCATTTTTATTTGAACATTGTAAGATTTTTTTATAGAATGGATACTAAGTGACAACATTATTTTTAATAGAATAAACATTTAGACCACAGTGGATTAACCCTAACCATTTGTAGTTTCTTTCATATTTCAATTGTATTACTCATAATTTGAAGGCAGTGTTGAGTGATTATGATTATGATTGGTTAATACAGAAAATTTTCAACAGATGCGCAAACCTTTTCTCTCTACCAAACAGCACTCATGTGGTATATGTATGTATGGGCTCATACTTTGTAAAACTACTTGTAGTTAGTACATTTTGTCTGAATAGTCCATAGAAAACTTTTAGAATTTCATTGAAAAACTATAAATAAGGATGGAGGTATAGCTCAATGGTAGAGTGCTGGCCTGTCATGTGCAAGGCCCTGGATTTATTTCCCAGCACCACGAAACAAAATAAAACAAACAATGCATACATGCATATTGGATATTCAGGAAATATTAACAGTAAGTTGTCCATCATACAGAGTAGTTGAACAATTTTCATGTTGTTTATTTGTTTTTATGGGGTGCTGAGGATTGAACCCAGGGCCTCACTTGTCCTAGGCAAGTGCTCTACCATTGAGCCAACATTTTAGATTCTTACACTGAATTCTCCTAAGGCAGATAACTGAAACTTTGTAAAATGATTGTTGTACATGTGTTTGGCATTTCTGCTAAACACTCTTCCTTTTTGTAGAACCAAGTTATTCTTATTTGTCTCCCAGAATGTTTGTAGATAGAGAGTAATAGAATTTCTGTCATACACCTCACCTCAACCCTCCAATCACATTGTGATTCCAAAGTTCAGGGCAGTGAAAATAGTAACCTTGACAAGGGATTCCTACATTGTATCTTTTAACAAAATTATCCATTTAATGGAAGCACATCACATTTTTCCAAAGTGATTCCAGTATTAGATATTCATAATATATTCATTTTTTAAAATGCTTCCACCATTCATATTAATATTTTTAAATTCACTATGCAAAGAGGTATTAAAGTATGGTAATAAATGGAATGAAGTTACTTTAATCATTCATAATAATATAAATGACATTAGGGAGGCCTCAGTGATTTCTCTAAATCCAGACTTTAGTCATTAGAAGGTAAAATCTGAAATGCTGAATTACAGCATGAATGGATCCAGAGAGATGAGGGGCCAGTGCTCTATATCCACAACTGGTCTCAACAGTGGATAGTTTTGCTCCCCTCTCCTCTTTAGGGAACAACATCTGGAGACACATTTTTAGTAGTTACCCTAAAGGTAACTACTACTAGTCACCCCTAAGGTCACCCTCTATCCTACTAGCATCTGCAGAATAGAGGCCACAGGTGTTGCTAAGCATTTTAGGATGCACAGATCAGCCAACAAAGAATTATCTTGCCAAAATCCCAATACTGTCAGGCCAAGAAAGATGGCTCTAAGAAAGAGAGAGAGAGAGAGAGAGAGAGAGAGAGAGAAAGAAAAAGAAAGAAAGAAAGAAAGAAAGAAAGAAAGAAAGAAAGAAAGAAAGAAGGAGGGAGGGAGGGAGGAGAAAAGAAGGAAGGGAGAAGGTAGTCAAGACACAAATGGTTTGGGGGTCTTTGTTTGTTGCAGTACTGGGGATTGATCCCTAGAGCATTCTACCAGTGAGCTACATCCCTGGACCTTGTAATTTTATGTATTAGGGTCTCACTAAGTTGCCCAGGCTGACTTCAAATTTGCAATCCTCCTGCCTCAACCTCCCGAGTAGCTGGGATTACGGGCATGTGCCACCTTTCCCTACTACAAATGGGTATTTTAATCTCCTATTTGTTATATTGCCTTCTTAAGAGCCCAGTGATTTTACTTCATGCATTTGCTTCTGTGTTTCTTTCAGCATGATCAAAGCACTTCATTTCTCAAGGAGACCTTGATTTAACCTACTCTGTTTCTTCAAACATCAATTTCATTATCTATATAAAGTGATAAAATTAAAAGTGATATATTATCCTCAACTTTTTATTTTGAACTTACAAAAAATTTTGGTAATTTTCAAATCTACAAATCTATTTTCTCATATTTGCTTCCCCTCCCCCTCTTTCACCCACTTACTCTCATGCTGTCCAAATTACCAGTTTGCATATGTTTTCACCCTATAATTTCACTTCTGCAAATATATTCTACACATACAAAATGGTGTGTGCAGTATTGCTTGCAAGAGACTGGAAGCAATTCGAATGTTCATTACTCAATGACTCATTAAATAAACCACAAGACAGGGAAATTCTATACAGATTTCTATACAGCTTTCTAAAAAACGAGGACATTTACTGGGCTCAGTGGAGCATGCTTCCATTGGCTTGTGAGGTTGAGGCATGACGGTTGCAAGTTCAAAGCCAGCCTCAGGAAAAGTCAGGCACTAAGCAACTCAGTGAGACCCTGTGTGTAAATAAAATACAAAATAGGGCTGGGGATGTGGTTCAGTGGTTGAGTGCCCCTGAGTTCAATCCCTGGTACCCACCCCGCAAATGAAGACATTCTGTGCTTTGATATGGATGTGTCTCTAAGATATATTACTGCTCAAAAAATATAAGTTCAGTGTGTGTATATAATATGCTATTATTTGTATGAGAATGGCAAAATAAATGTATCTATTTATTTCTCATAAATGATTCTCTCTGTGAGGGAGAAGGTGGAAACTATACCCTGAACAAGTTATTAAAACTATGTAAACATTCAGAGTCCAGAGAACTTAGAAGGCATAATTATTAAAATTTTGTCTAAGCAGCTTCTTAGATTTTAGTTGCTATTAACCATGGAAGATACTTTAAATTTTATGCTTCATTTGATTTTTCACTTACTTTTGGATTCTAGTAAAATTTTAGAAATTTGTTATACATAACTACATTAATAAAATCATTGCTCTGTTGAGTGGAAAACTCAATAAAGAGCATATGTTTAAAGTGAGCTATAACTATGTATGAATTCTTTTACACAAGATTGAGCTGCGGTTTTATTCTGTGTGGTGATCTTCCATTAATTGAAAACAATTGTAAAAAATCCCACTAAGTAATTTCTTATTTTTTAAATCCACAGCAAGTTGGTATTGATAAAGGTGACATTCCTGACCTCACACAGGTAAGTGACTCTCTCAATGGAAGAACTCAGTATGCATGAAATTATTACTCCAGATGTTGTCACAAATAGGCATATTTTTCTGTGCTTAATGGATTTTGAATTTAGGTCAACCAACTTTCTTAGAAATTATTCTATCTTACCTATTCTTTCTAGTTATTGACTATGTTTCTGGAGGCAATGGGAAAGTTTTCCTGCCCTTAAGATGTAATTTCTTCTTCAGAGACAACTGACTTTACTAATTGAGTTCATCTTTTCATTCTTGAACTCAAGTCAGAAGGAAACCTTGAATAATGTTAAAAAAGCTATGAAAAACCACTATTGGTAGGCAATCAGAACATTGGAACTTTCTTTCCAGCTTGTCCTCCTAGTTTTTCAAGGCGCCCCTTATATGAAGAAGGCCAGAACTCGGATGTTACAGTCCTACTACGCTGAGTCTGTCACCCCTGTGAAGAGAAGGAATTCCTATACATAAAAGAAAAATGATTTTTTTAAATATAGTGGTGATAGATCAGTGATTTGGGGAGGGTCCATCTAGTAAGCAACAACAATAGTGGGGCTCCCTTATCAATCTTTTTATCTATCAGGAGAGTACAGCATCCAATTCCTGGGAGAGAACAGGGCGTCATTCACAGATGCAGAATAGTTGTACAACACTTCTCATAACCGAAAAAAGCAGTTTTTGCTTAATCACTCTGTAATGGTAAATTTCAGTCCCAAACATGTCCTTTAACTAGAAACAATGTTGTTATAGAAATGATGGGAGAGAATATAGAACTGTTATCTTATATACCATGACAAATATTATGAATTTTTTGGTCTATAAATTTAAAAAGTCATTATAATAGAAGGAAATCATCATAATAAATTACCCACTTTTTAATAGTATCAAAGTGCTTTTAATTGTTTGCTATCCTTAAATGTCTTTAAATACTTACATATTTAAAATGTTAATCTTTAAATTTTTATTAAAAATTAGGAACACACAGAGAAATATTTTTCTGTATGTGTATTATTAAAATACCTATCAAATATAAAGAATTCTTCATAAATAAAACTTAGCAGTTCAAAATTTGAAGACATTGTATTTTTTAGTTTAAAAGCTGGAAGATAACTCTTTCTATTAGACAGAATATTCATATAAAGTATTTCTATAAGACAATAGTATTCTTAGAGTAGGTGTGTGCTTGAATAAGATATTGACGTAATTTGAGTAGGGATAAAAATTAAGGTTGCATAAAATGTTATTTTAAAATCTTTTTATCAGAAGTAAATTTATCTTTGTAACTCATTAAACAAAAATAAGTAGTTTCATCTATACAGCTATAACAAAAATTTACATGCATTTATCCAAGATAGATAATATAAGTTAACTTTAAGAAGATGTACATTAAAGTATTTATCTTAATGAACTCCTTTTAGAAATGAAAAGTCATCTTTATTTTAACACTGTAGACAAACCTTACTGTAAGATAAAATGAAAACTAGATATTTTGTTAAGGAAAGGAGCTCAGTAAAGAATAGGTCCTAATGTCCATCACAATCCACCATCCTTGCTAATCCCCTTTATCCAAAGAACATATATGAAGACACGAATTGGGTGTCAACATACTTTATATACAAATAGAGATATGAAAAATTGTAGTATATATGTGTAATAAGAATTGTAATGTAAACAAAACCAAAGTACATGAATTGTCATGAACATACTTCATATACAAAGATATGAAAAATTGTGCTATATATGTGTAACAAGAATTATAATGCATTCCGCAGTCATGTATTTATTTAAAAAATAAAATCTATTAAATTAAAATAAAATAAAAGAATAGGTCCTTCTTTGTCTCAGTTTGGGCACAGTCTGAATGGACATTAGGAAAGACTTAAGAGACTACTTAAATATCTTTTGATTTTTAAAATTGGAGAATGATAAACTGGGTGTGGTGGTACACACCTGTAATCCCAGCTACTTGGGAGGCAGAGCAGAAAGATCACAAGCTCAAGGCCAGTCGGGGCAAATTAGCAAGACCCTCAAATAAAAGATAAAAAGGACTGAAGATGTAACTCAGTGGTACAGTGCCACTTGGTTCAAATCCCAGTACCCTAAAAAATAAATAATAAAAATAAAATCGTAGCATATCATTGATAAAAGATTGTGTATACATTCACATACTTGGGTTTAATATTTAATAATACCATATATTTATTATAATTTATATAATTTATTAAGAAGTCCAGAGACATATTGTATTTAATGATACAAGATGTTTGTTTTCATAATTTGGAGAATAGACTTCACCCTCCCAAAAGCAAAATCTTCTAATAGAAGCTGTTCTGTGGTAGGGATTCATTAGACTGGTAGCAGTCTATCCTCTGCTTTTGTAATGACCTTAAGAGCCACATAAACTTGAACATTAACTTTTTAAAATATTTTTTTTGTTGTAGTTGGACACAATATCTTTATTTTATTTACTTATTTTTATGTGATGCTAAGGATCGAGCCCAGCATCTGGCACGTGCTAGGCGAGCGCTCTACCACTGAGCCACAACCCCAGCCCAACATTTATTTTTAAATTACCGCCTTAGAAAAATTCATCTAGGGATGGGGTTGTAGCTCTACGGTACAGCGCCTCACATGTGTGAGGCACTGGGTTCAATTCTCAGCATCGCATATAAATAAAATAAAGGTCCATTAACAACAAAATAAATTTTAAAAATAAAAATTCATCTGGTCAGATTTTCCTGTGTACATTTAAATTCATACAAGAGTATAGTATGCTTCTGAAATTTCTTAATTTTTCTTTTGGTATTATGGGCGACAGAGCTGAAGGTCCTCCATAGTTCTTATTTAGAGCCCCTTCCACAGGGCTGATGGAGGTCTCTAACCAAGCTAGGGATTTAGACCAACTATGACAGTACAGTAGATCTGAGCTGAAACTTGTGATGTTCTGAGTTTAATCCTTTAGGTAGCGTTAGGCTAGGATTAGTTGAGAAATGAGTCATAAAAAACAGATTGTATGGACTCAGTTTAAGTCCCCTGAGATTAGGTTTTGCCGTCAGGCTTCTCCATGGCTACCATGACTACTGAATCTAGCCCTAGCAATAGACAAAAATACCTAACAGGATAGCTTTAAAGAAGTGATGTAGACCAAAGGGACTTCCTATAAAAATCAGTTCTCATAACTAATAAATAAATAAATAATAAATAATTAGAAATCCTCTTGCAGCAAAATGGAAGAGTTTAATGTATATCTTTTAGGTTAGAGAATACACAGTAAGTACCACGGTAGTCATCTGTAGCCCTTTATAACTTGTTCATGTAATCATCACTGCATTTAAATGATTATGCCAGAATGCTGTATGCCTGAAATCCCACAACTCAGAGGATTGAGGCAGGAGGATCACAATTTTGAGGCCAACCTAGGCAACTTAGTAAGACCCTTCTTAAAAAATAAAAAGTTCTGGAGATGGAGCTCAGTGGTAGAGCACCCCTGCATTCAATCCCCAGTACAATATGTGTGTATACATACACATACATATACATATATAAATATAAATATCAGTGACATTTTCAAAATACTTTTAAAAGTAATGTTTCAGGTAAGAAGTAAATATGACGTTGGAACTAATATTTTTCCCAGCACTTTCAAATGGTTTCTTTCGGGCTATGATAAAAAATTTGAATCTTTTGATTGCTCCTTTTACATTGCTTTTAATGATACTTTATGATCTAAAGCATCTGGATTGTAGATGGATTCTCCCTTTTGGATCCTAGGCATTACACTTAGCTATTAATTTATTTCAAGAAAATGCTTTTTAAATATTATTTCTTTGGGGGGTGGTGCGTGTGTGTGTGTGTATGTGTGTGCGTGTGTGTGTTCCCAATTTAAAATATCTCCATTTATGAAAAATATCTTAGGATTTGATGTCAGGAATTCTGGTTGATCTGAAAACTACTGGTAAAGTCAAGTCTCCTTTTAAAGACTATACCTCCATGCATTGGTAACCATGGAAATATTGCTGTTTTCTATTAGCTCTCATAGTCTGATTTATTCTTTGGGTTGGTGTTTCCATCTGATTTGATCATTGACTTTGCCATTTTTTAAATGAGAAAATAAGTAAGGTGCTAATTATACTTTGTTATCTGGAGTTTCTTTTACAACAGCAGAGGCACTCTCAAAGTTTTGCTCCTTGGAAATGTAGACCATTTTCATTTACTGTATCCTGCAGTCCAGGAAGTCCTTTAGAGCCATAGACAGTGGAGAAGGCACACATTCGTGCACTCCTAGACATTAATATTAACATACCTTTCTTTTTTTTCCCCAAGACATTTTAAGAATTTGTTTCTCTTAGATTCTTTCATGTCCTTATAAGAAATGTAAATTATGAAGCACTTTTAAAACCTCTGGGATTAAAAAGCTCCAAATTTAATTTTGTGTGCTGTGTATTGCTAAATAACCCCCTTTAAATCCAGAGTCAGTTTTACAGGCTTGAATTCCCTTGTTAGATTTCTATTTCAACTCATGTGATTTTTGTAACTTCTACTTCATTTTCCAATTTTCTCAGTTAAATTATTAAGAATTTCTACAAGAAGAATGAAATTTCAGACTATCTTCATGGTGATTTGTTTAAAATACCTAAGGAACTTTAAAGAAGAAAATATGACCTCTTTTGTTATCCCATAAATGTTGTTCTCTATTTCATGACTATAAGTATCATTTGTTTTTATCATTTGACAGTATTTTAAATTTAAGTCTAGCAAAGGATCACTCTTTCTTTATATTGTATATAATACTCAGAACTCACGTCTTCTGACAAGAGTTTCTATGACTCAATATTTTTTTTCCTTACCATATCCCAACAACAACAAATTGAATGTAAAAAAGTTTAATTCATATGCACAGGTCTCCTAGTTCCATCATCATGATCATGTTCAGCATCACCAACAATTAGCATGACAATTTTGGATTTATCAGATATGAGTCCATCTAAAAATTTTGAAGTCACTTATATATTTTTCTATATAAATATTGTTTGCAATGTATGTTCTGTTTTCAATGAGCATTTCTTTATGGTTTACAATTGGTTATATAAAGCAAAATTTCCTTTATCTCTCTTAAAAATTTATTTTTTTAAGACTTACAACTATACCCTTAGCTGCAGCTTACTAGAATTTTGTTTTTTTAGTTGATTTTTACCCTGAGTTATATCTTAAAATTCTAATTTTTATACTTTTCTAAATTCATTATATCCTGATAATTTTTTATTTTATTTTTTATTTAGTCCAAAGCTTTTTAGATAACACTGATGAAGCTGTCCCTTCCCACCACACCTCCGTCACTTGGATCAAGTTAATATTTTCATTCACTTAGTAATTTTTATATATTTATAAATTGGGTGTTTTGTTTCACTTAGTATTTACATTTACAATCATATAATTATGTGAATAATAATTATATAAATTTTGAGTTTATAAGTGTATCAATAAAATTTAAATAAATCATATATATTCTAAACTTTTAAAATTAAAAAAATAATAAGAATTTTATTTTGTCATTAAACATATAATTTAAATGTAATTATATTAATTTCTTCAAATTCTGTAAGTCAGTTTTGCAGTTAGCATAGTTACTGTGAAGTCCTTCAAAAGTAGTTTCACATTAAAGAACAATTATCAAAATTAAATGTACCTGTGAATGTAGTTTGTTGTTTCATTCATTCATGAAATGCTTTTCTTTGAGTGCCTGTGCTGCTGTTAAGGTTTAGTTTGGGTGAAAATTATTTGAGAAAGATGAAATTAAATTTATAATGCTTGAGAAATAGGTTGGGTCAAATATTTGTATGAAGCTATTATTTCTCTTCTAATATACAGTACATCACTTTTTGTTGCCTGAAATTTTATTTATAGAAAGAAACATTCACGACCTTCTTAATTAAGAGTTGAAATGTATTATTTAGTCTGACAATGCACAATGCTTTATTATATACATAATTAAATAGCTCAATAATAAAATTTTAATTATTATGTCTATTAAATTGTATTCTTTTTCCTCCAACTCTCACTTAGTCTCCATTTTTAAATATGATAACAATTTTTTCTTAATATTTCAATGTGAGGTTTTACTGTATTTTCAAATTTCTATAAATTCCTATTTGGGCACTTTCTCTCTTCCACTGTGGCTTTATGGGAAGGTTGTGAACTTGATTTGAGTATACTACATTCAAGTAATATCTTAGCAAAGTCTGTCCAATGTAGCCTCTACACTGAAAACCTGCTGGAAGTTTATTTGGTATGCAGGGGAGTTAGTAAAAGATGGGCCTACCTGAGATTCCATGGATCTTAAATATTTAAACATCAGAAGAACCTAAAATGAAATTATCGCACATGAATATTGGGCTCCACCCATAAACTTCCACCCTGAAAAGTTACAGTGATGTTACAGTGTGTTTACTTTGAAAGAAAACAATGCAGACATTTATTTTTACTTTCTTATTGTAGGCTCCCAGCAGTCTTATGGAGACCCTTGAACAACATCTAAATACATTAGAAGGAAAGAAACCTGGAAACAAGTACGCATTAGTTGTGTATTCTAAATAAGATAAAAAATACTAGGATCGTTCTTTATAATAATGAGATTTATCATGGTAAACTTATACTACTATAGTTTCAGGGTATGCTATATTGTAATTTTGGGGGGTTCCCACAGAACCCCTGCCCTTTGTGTTACTTGTGTCAGTAGGACCTCATGAGTAATCAGTCTACCTGCAAGCTAATATGGCAGATTAATAGATTATTCCTATATTGACTGAACTTGCTGATTTACATATTTGCCCTTAGAAAAAATCTACAATACAAAGGATTTGCTCATATTTAAAAATTAAAACTGTAATGGTTGGTCATGAGTCAAAATAAGCACAGTTTTACAAGTATCCTGAACACTGTTATGTTACCAACCCCAGTGTAAAGAAAGCAAAATCCTCAAGTATAGTTTCCAGGACTTTAGTATCCCCCCACTTAGGCATGTCATAGCTACTGACATTTTACTCAGATCTTTTAATAGAGGAAGTAGCAATCAAACAATGAGAAGTACACTTTACTGGATTTTGTTTTTTACCTTTGTGTTTGGTACTTACAGTTTTGACTATTTTTCCTTGTTGCATGCAAAAAATGTCCAGGTTCCATTTTTCCATCTCTCCACCAGGAAGGAAACTTTTCTGTTCTAAAGACCCAGTCCTTTCTGGTCTTTGTGCCTGGTTCAACTGTAATTCTGCCAGTCTTGGATGCTTACCCTTGTCCTGCCTGTGTAACTCTTATGCATCCTGGGATGGCTACCTGCAGTCCTAATTTCTGATGAAGCCTTCCTAACGATAAACTTCCCTGTATTATGGCTATTTTATTTAACAAATGTAACTTCAATAGATTTTTGGTTCCAAAGGTCAGTATCTAAACATTTAATGTTGGTGTCCCTGTAGAGTCAACTGTCATTGTTGATGATACCAGCTTTACACTATTTTATTTAGCTTGACAGCAGGAATTAGCAGAGACAACCAATGAACTGATCATTGCAAGGTTATAGGCTGATCATGGATTTTACCTATGATAGAATGGTCAAAATGTCACTTTTTTCTGCTTTCTTCTTTCTGACTATTCTCCCAAAACCTAGGCTTGTACATCTTGATGTTACTTTTTTATTGGTTATTTTATTAGCTAAGTGATGTTTTTGTCCTCTTTTCCAAATGAGTATAGTAATCATTGTATGTTTTCGATGATAAACAACAGTAGAGAAATCGTTCAGGCTACAATGGAGAGCTACTAGGAATGATGGGTGGCAGAACCTCTCTAGGGCTTTGCCAAGACCTTACTACAGTCTGCCCCACTTTAGGTGTGGCTATGAATGAACAGGTTTTTGATGTGAGACTACATTAAATCGCAGCAGTCTATTTATTACTGGGCCCATCCTCTATTAGGGAATCTGGGAATCCCAGTGATTTGCCTAGGGATTACAATTACACAAATGGAGGCAGGAAGCTATATGTCTCTCCTCCTGTGGCAGAATGAGCTCATTAACTAATGAAACCTACAGGTCCCCTAGAGTTGATCTCTCCCTTGGGCAGCTATAGACACACCCTATAAGCCAGTTTCACCTTGATCTTTTTACCTCTGGGTGCCTGTACTCTGCTTAGGCCCACACTTTGCCCTTATATTTCGTAAAAGCTACCAGCATGCTGCTATTACCAGAGATGCTTCTTTCCCTAGCTCCAATGTCTCTTCAGCCCTGACTTCAAATCTAAATCTGCCCCCTTGTGGCCATTGCAAGCTAACTTTGGAAAAATTAGCCATGGGTGTTTAATTAACATTTCTAAAGAGGTAGAATGAAACTCAATAATATTCCATTTGAACTGCCTTTTGCCTAGAATAATTTTTCTCTCCCCTTTAAAATCATTTTATGCTTGTCATATTTCTTTTCTGAATTGGCTGAGACCACATTTGAATTGTCTTTTGCTTATTCCCTATTTTGAAAATAAATAAGCTATAATAGCTAACTATTTTCTTCTTTGTATGTTCGTGCTTACCTGGGAACTTAAGTGAAGGGTGAGTACTACATAGAGTGACCTTTTTGCATTTTGTAATTACTAAAAATGCAAAAACACTCTTTTAGATTCCACCTGTAGTATTGAGAACATTAAAATTGATTTCATTTTATGCATCTGTGTTTTTTCATTATGCTTTATTTTTGTCTTCCAAGGTGACTGGCATAAATGGTTTTACTTTCTTTTGGTCTTCTTGTATCTAGACTAACAATCTATTTTAGGTGTATAAATATTTCTCTTCAATTTTAGAAATCAAAGAATTTTTATTTGTTGAGTAGTCAAAAGTTTCCCCCCAGAATATTGCAGAAGTGCCAAAAGACTTTTATAAAGAAAATGGATTCCCTGAAATTGTTTTCTTTGTTCATCTAGTAGCAGTATAAAATTATTCCAAGTTCTAATCAAGTATATACATAAAATGAAGCATTTAGAAATCTCTGCTGTGTAAAATATTTATGCTCTTTATATTTAGTACCTTATGTCCACAGATGTTTACTTTTAAAATTGTGTGTGATATGGTATAATACACCCTTGTGAATTATTTGTTTCTACTAGTCAACAGGACAAAAGGGAGACATTTATTTTATCCTACATGTGTGTTTATTAAATGTGAACAATACAAGAAACCAAGATGTCTTTTGTAATTAAGATTATTTGGAAGATGAAGATAGGTTTTTCACATCTCTGTCTTTTTCTAACATTTATATACAAAACTATGTAGGGATTATTGTTGTGAATAAGTAAAAAAATAACAAAGTTTCCACTTTGACAGCTTACTATTACCATATTGGAAGGAAACCTTGGTATTTGCTGTGTTCATAGTAAAAATTCATGGATTTGATCATAGCATTGTTACAGAATTTAGAATAGATTACCCGATGGGTCATTCATTCCCTCTAAAATTATCACACTGTGTTATTTTTTCCACCTCAGTTCAGATGTGCTTGATTTCTCTAGAAGAAAATTTTTTAAAGTATTGCTCTTTAATAAACATCATTACCTATATATAAAAGGTTATAGTATTTTCTTTCATTAAGGGCAGTGACCAACAATAAGATGGGATCTCAAGCAAGGAATAAATACGAAGCAGCAATTTATGTGTTGTGTAAGAAAGGAACAAATGTACTGGCTCATTTGTGTTTTTAGTGGGGCAAACTGGAAAGGGTATCAACACAGGCTCTGGGCAGCAGACAGACTTGGAGTAGAGCCTTGAATTTACCATTAAAGAATGATGAGACTCAGGCAAGCTGTTAACCTTCTAAGCCTAGAAGCCCTCCAATTTTATTCAGTGATTAACGATGCTTTTTAAAGCTACAACCCATGGGAGATCCTTTGGTTCTCACCTTTTTTTTTTTATTTTATTAAATCAGGACAAAAGCTAAATCTGGTCAAAGGGAACAGAGGTCTCCCATCTGGACAGCTTAGTTTCACAGAAAATATATTTTTTAAGAATTCTGGTTAACTTATTGGTTATAAAATGAATAAATGAATGCATTCTTGTTGAAAGTTGCAAATAATGTAGAAAACACCAGATGCTATACAGAGTGCTAGGATATAAAACAACAGGATGAGTTCCTTCCCTTCAAAGAACGTAGCATCCAGGGATAAAGACAGATAGCTAAACAGACAATTAAACTATGATGTGGTAAGTGGGATAATAGCTCAACAGAGATAGTAGAGATTTTCATTTGCTCATCCATGGAATAACTACAAGTACCATTTAGTAATCCTTTATTCTTGGGTGTTTTACAAATGGATTCCTTTGCCAATTATATTTTTCACAGTTAGCTTTGAGTATGATGTTCTCTAACAATAAGAAATTCAATTCCATCATTTTTACTTTATTCTTACTACAGGGCAGAAGATATGATATCATTTTTTATTTATTGGCTGGGGAATGTATTTCAAAAGTTCATGCTTATTCTCAATTCTCTTTTCTGTATTAATATTTGTCATTGTGTCAATACTGCAAAGAATTGACTCATGAATGTTTCCTGAGAAATTAATTTAAATCTAAGAAAGAGACCATGTCAAATGACATGCTTTTTTTTTCTTTTTCTTTCTCTTTTAGTTGTTATAAAAGGTGAATTAGAGAAATTAGTAGTCAAAAATGAGAGAATTTTCAGTCTTATGCTGTACTAGATTTTTAAGTTCCTAAGTTTCTATAGTTAGAGAAAATACTGTGAATCTCTTTCAGTAGACCGTTTGAAATGAGAAATTATAGATAAATATACATGGAAAAGATATTAATCTGGCATACACTATTGATCAATTGGTGGAAAAGGATCATAATATTGTACAAAATTCCAATTACCTTCTGCTAGTTTTGTTTTGCTACTACTGTATGTGCTATTTTCTCTGTAGATGAGTAGAACACCATCTTACTAAAATGTACTGTCTTCATTTTGTTTCACGATTCATTTTTCCACCAGTTCATGTGAGTAAAAAGTAAGCTGTTCAGGCAATTATTTATGGATCCTTTTCTAGATATGATGTACAATGGTCAATGCTACCACTAATCTAACTTTTAAATAATATTTAGCCTTTCTGAATGTTCCTTTACTCTCTTAGAAATAAGTTGCTGCTCTTTTTCAAAGTTCCACTAGTCATAACAGAATGATAGAAGTGTTTTTTTCTAGCGTTTTTTTTTTTTTTTTTACAGCCATGAAAATAAAAACAGACACACTTCAGGAGTGTGAATGTGGATATTGAGTCATATTTCAGACTCAGGGAACACAGAGATATTTTTTCTAGGCTTTCTGCTTTTATGAGTTACAATATGATTAAAAATAGCAATATAAGGTTAACACTTATGTTAACCTTAGTGAGTTTTTTAATTTGTTAAATAATGAGGTTTTCATAAATTATATACAACATGCTTTTTCTCAAGTCTTGGCAAATCTTTTTAAAACTGCAATTTTGACAGTTTGATTTTGATGGGGCATAGGCAATAATGATTGGCTGAAAGAACTGAATAGCTCGGATAGAGAAAATAATTTTTAATTCCAGAATTTCTAGTACTAATAATTAAGCCTATAGGAAATATTGAAAGATGACATTATAACTGTGTAAAAGATTAAAGAATACTTTAATAGCTTATTCATTACTTGGAAAAAACTATAAGCAGTTTAATCTAGACAAAGTGTTATCAAACTTAAATGCTTTTACAAATGTATTCTTGGGTATTCAGTTTTAATTTTCTTATGTTGCCTTTTAGATCTGGTGCTCCCTCTCCATTAAGTAAGGTAAGTTTGTTTTTGTTTTTAGTGTGGTTTTTTATAACCATTCTACCATCTCTGTACAGTTCACTGGCATTAAGTATATTTATATTGCTGTATAACCATCAGCACATACATTGCCAGAAATTTTTTCATCTTCCAAAAATGAAAGTCTGTATTCATTAAACAAAAATTCCCATTTACCCACCATCCAGTCTCTGTCTCTATGAACTTGATTACTCTGGACAGTATCTATCTTCTTATGACTGATTTATTGTATTTAACATGTCTTCCTATCAGCCATAGTATAGCATGTGCCAAAATTTCCTGCCTTTTTAAGATTAAATAATATTTCATTGTATGTACACACCACAATTTGTTAATCCATTCATCTATCAATGGATACTTGAGTTGCCACCATCTCTGGGATATGATGAATAATAGATGCTGTGAACATGAGTATAAGGATTATCTGATTCCTACTTTCAATTCTTTGAGGTATATATCCCAAAGTAGAATTGCAAGGGATATGGTTTAATTTTTTTGAGAAAAGGTAAGATGTGTTTTTATATGTTCTCCTTTATATTAAGCTTATCAGTCCCATGTAGTATAGTTATATGTAACTTATTCCTCTATTGGTACTAAGTATTTAAAGTAGGAGAGATTTTCACTTATTAACATTACAACTGAAAACAAACGCATCCATGTAATGTGTTACTGGTTTGAAAGCATTTTCACATACTCTGAATCAGAGCCTGAGATAAGTAATATACAAGGTACAAAGCAGGTTTTAATGGCAGAGAAAAAAATTGTAACTAGGGATCTTCCCACAAACGAATCTTTAGACAGTCTGCTGCAGTAGTTTTAGTAACTCCTTTACCTCCCCATCTCTTTATTAGCATGCTGAAAGACAGGATTAGGATTATCAGTGGTAAAAGCATTTATTTCCATAGGTCTGCAGTTCACATTGGCCATTGTATCTCTCAGGTGAAACTGTAATAGACGTGCTCATTCCTCTTTGGCAAATTTCACTGAAGAATAGATGTCATTACAGACATTCAAGGCTGTCATTTTGACTGTGCTGCTGATTCCCAGACACCATGTACTATGCCAGTGTCCAGTTGGCTGGCTGCTTAAGATCCCCTCAGGACCTCAAACAAACAATCAAATGAAACAAGCAAGCAGAAAGCTTTCTGGTTTTTCTAATAGAAATCCAGGTTTAAAACCATCATGTCTATGTGAAAAATTCCAACATTTGCCCACTGAGTAGAGTGTTATGAAATGCAGGATGATCTATTTCAACATTCTGGCCAAATGAAATTACCTGACATTTTCTTTTCATAATATGTTTATTTTCCCTTGCTCTCATGTCTCCACTGAGGTTATTACAGGGCATCTTAATGAGCATTTGTAGACCTTCATTTCTGCATTAATGTTGGAAAGATTTATTTTCTGTCGTTAAAGTCCCAGTGTTGTCATAAACATTCACTTTTTTCTGAGCTCATTTACAAATAGTGCCTAAAATAAAAGTATTTTAGAGGCATTGCTGTTGTCCACAATGGATAACATATAATCAGTTTTCGTTAGCTTTTCCCATTCTGTTGATGACCTTTTGTCTTCCATTTGGAAGATTAGTACTTTTGTTGAAGAAAGGTTTGAGTTGAATTTTCTAAAAAATAATATTTATACCTCTCATGTGTTATCTCTCTTGATTGCTGAATGTTTGGTAGTTTTATATCTATTGAATGCTGACTTCTTGATTAGTTATATTCTAGGATGAATAGATATTAGATGAATACTATTTAAGTATTTGTAGTAGTATTTATAATAAACTATTTTTAGTTTATTATAAATTCTTCATCTCATCCAGTCCTTTCTTAAATTATTATTTTTAAAACTTCCTCTAAATTTTGTTTATTGAAATCCGACACTCATTTATGGCAATAACTGATAGCCTTTGCTTGCTCTTGGCCTTTGTGTGTTTTATTTGCTCTCATATCTCATTTCCACTTATAGAATTAGTATCAGCAGGTTGTTTTGAAATGTTCCATTAAACTTTCTCTTATGAATACATGGAAAATAAAATACACTGGGTAAAATAGAATTATAATGGCTACTACACACAAATTTTAATTTCTTAATATGTTAGTTGATCATTAACTCCTCTTCTTTAAAAAAAATAGTTCAGGAAAACAATTTTTCGATTTTATTTTACTTTTTATTTTTACTTATTTCATATAAATTTTAGGATATCCTCGAGCAGTCAGTGACTTGAATCTTGCTTGTGAATTGTTTCCCAACAACTGAGAACTACTTAGGTTGAATGCCTGGATATTAAAGTAAAAGGACTTTGCATGAAGTCTACTTAGTGTGAGAAGGAAGAAGGATTACCTTGGTTTTATAGCAACTATTATAACTGATAATTTTCAAAATATATGGCAGCCAGTAAGATTCTTCCCAATAATTTTGTATTCCAGTATATTTAGCTTTGATTTTAAATACATGAAGAGAAGTCATTGCAGTGTTTGTCCAAATATTTTATCAAAATTTTAAGTATATTTTATTTAACTTTTAAAATTTAAGGCATGTTTTATACAGGAATGAATATTACAATTGATTATTACAATTCTTGATTTTAAATTTTCTTGAGTTTTTTTTCTCCTATGAGGAATTACCAAAAAATTGCTGGGAAAGTTATAGATCTGCAAAGCAAAACTCCTTTTGCTCTGTGTCCTGTGGATTCATATTTGACTAGGGTGTGTTGTGCATCTTCAATTTCAGTCTTCGCCAGCCACAACCGTGACGTCTCCTAATTCTACACCAGCTAAAACTATTGACACATCTCCACCAGTTGATTTATTCGCAACTGCATCTGCGGCTGTCCCAGTCAGGTCAGTTAATGAGTATGCCGTGAACTGATTGTTAATATTTTAATCAGGTTTTTGTTTTCTTTTCATGTATGGTACCCACATGATTTCACCAAACGCAATCACTTCCTGGTAATGTGATATCTGAGATTGTTTTTGACCCACAACATATCAATAAAATCTCTTCATGATTAAAATAAATTCTCTCACACTCTTGCAGGTACTTAGGCTTGTACCTCTTTGATGGTTAGAAATATCTAAGCTATACAGATTACCTTGTTGCTTACACATTTGGGAAAGGAAGAGGAAGAATGATGCACATACCTGTAGGTTCTTCTGATATTGGCTGACCTGGAAAATGTCTACTAAAATTAGTTTCTTCTTGCGGAAAACTTAAAAGGTGTATCAAAATGCTTTAAAAATAACAGCAACGACAAACTTGGAGTTGTAGGCCAGTTAGGTGGGCACACAAGGAACCCAAACTCAGGCAATAGGGAAAAGCTTTCAGGGTATTTCTAATCAGCTTTCATATCACCTGTGTGTCAGCAGTAGTGAGAAAGGTTGGTCTGATTGTGCATTCTGTGAAATCTCAGAGCTACCAAAAGAATCACCAACTTGTTGGGGCTTCTTCAAATAAAAATTTTGGCTCAAGTCTTTGTTCTTTTGCTTTGAGACCTTGAGAGGATTCTTGTCTCCTATTGTAGTACCTATAAACTATGAATGCCTTGAAATTGGAGACTTGAATTTTTAACTGAGCCGTAAATTCAGGGATCATACCCATGTTAACTATATGCTTTACTTGCTTGGTTCTGCTTTTTATAATAGCAAGCAAGCTTGGTAAAACCAAGTCCTTTCTGCTACTGCATTAAGATAAATTGCTTCTTATGAAATCTCTGATAAGACTCTTAAGATTTTTTTTTTTTTTTGGTGGTACAGGGAATGGAAACCAGGGCCTCGCGCATGCTAGGCAAAAGCACCAGCACTGAACCGTACCTCCAACCCTGATTAAGCTCTTAATAATAAATATGTTTTCCTTTTCTGCTACTTAGTCCACTTGTATTTATGAAATGAACATCAAAACTAAGCAATGTTTTCAGAGGTCTTAAAACAGTTTTTGAAAACAGCATAATCCTTTCTTCAAAAGCATATTGTTTGGAAAACTAATATGTAAACAAGATAATAATAGAACTACTGTTTTGAGAAAAACTTCATATATTATAATCTAATTTAGGAAAAAGGTACATTCACAATTAATTATTGACTTTAGTATTCCTTGGTTTATAAATTCTTTACAAGACATGAATTTTTTCTATCTAAAAAATTTTAGAAGTAGAGGAAAAATAATCTTCAGCTTATGATTTTTATTGCCATATAGAATACTACCCATGGATCAAATCCAGCTCACTACTGTTGTAAATAAAGTGTTACTGGAATAAACACATGTCAATTTATTTCTGTATTGCACCATGTCTTCTTTTGTACTACAGTGGCAGAACTGAGTAGTGATAGAGACTACTTGTCCCTCAAAGCCTAGAATACCAACAATTCCTTTGCAAAAGTAATCTAACAACCCTTGGTATATGCTATACTGCTATACTTTCAAAAATATTACTTTTTCACTGGATTTAAAGTATCTACATTTTTTTAATATTTTCTACGTAAGTCTTTAGGAACAGCTTGACATTATGAAATTTCAGCATCTGATTTTAAAGTTGTATTTTCCTTTCAGCGCTTCTAAACCATCCAGTGATCTGCTGGACCTCCAGCCAGACTTCTCTACAGGAGCAGCAGCAGCCGCCGCCCCAGCACCGCCACCTGCTGGAGGAGCCACTGCATGGGGAGGTGAGTGGAATGGAATAGGCCTGACGTTCTACTGGCATTACAGGGTTGTTTTTATTCAAGTAAATTGTTATATTTAGCTTCCAGTCATCCAAAACAATATTAGAAGCTTGTAGAGAAAATGCTAAGAATGATATCTACTGATTGTAGTATAAATTGAGAAAGAGACAGAGAAAATATAATACAGTTTAAATGTTCAAGTAGTTAAATACTTTTATTTTACATACAGACTATATTTTAAAAGTTGTAACAAAGGAAGTATTTTTTCTTTGTAATTCTAAGATTCTGATTATTATTAGAAATTATTCTCTAGAGATTGGTGCTTTAAAGGAATTGAATATTCCCATGAATTTATCTTACTTAAGGCAGCATTTCTAATTTGGCTTGATCTGGTGTAGTTCTTGGATGGCATTAGGCCTGAACTGGTTTTATTCACATTGTACTTGACTTCATAAAATTGAAATCTATTACAGATTCTTGTTTGTGTCAGAAAAAATCCACACTACTCTGATCAAGAATAATCATATCTAAGCAGTTATTTCCTGTTTGATTCATGGATCTCAGAAAAATCTACCTTTTATAAATACTTATTAAAGGTATTTTATACTCATATAAAGTTAAGGTAATTGCTACATGATTCTCAAAGCTGCAAGGAGTTATTTTTAATATCATGCTGTATTATATCAAACTATCATAATAAAAATTTTCAAAACATGGCACAACTATAGAAGCAGCACAAGTAAAAGACTTAGAAACTCAGTAAAAGGAAATCAATTAGATAATACAGCTGGTTCAAAGAGTGTTTTGAGGAACTGTGTGTTCATAGACACTTAAAAAAAAAAGAATGTTCGAATAAGATGGAAAAACTAGTTAGTACCTTGTTAGCAACAAAAATCATGATCTTGATCCCAGACAGAAATAATTTGCATCATTAGCAGACAAGATTTGTAACTTAATAGACCCTTTCAGAATCAGTCTTTATTTAATAGTAAATAGCAAAGTCAAATGAAGTTACATAAATAATTTTGGGGTGGGCTGATAATGTAGTATATCAGCATAACATCAGAAGTACATTCTGCAATCTATTAATCTTAATTCCAAGTTTTTGGGTAACAAAAATGACAGAAAGTTAATTACTTCAGAAATAAAATTGCTAACTACAAACATGAACATTTTAAATGTTCAAACCTTCTATATTGAAATGTTCAACTCCTAACACTGAAGTTTTCAATTTCTTTAGATTGTTCTTGAAGCTTCATTTAAATATATTAAATTTCAGCTGAAAAACGAAAATGTTGCTGAAAATATTTATGAGGGTATTATTCTTGTGTGCCCTTTTTCTTTTTGAGATTTCTTTTAAATAGTTTCAATTTGCTAACAATATCTTTTCATTACAGTAATATTTTACACAATATATTATATTTTCCTATTTAAGAATGTTTCGAATCAAATACCCCTAAATCAAATTTTCTCAGCCATAAAATTCATATAAATGACTTCAATAAAATTTTACAATTTAAAATTTAGTTTTAATTATAAAATTGTAAATTTGTTTGTTATACAAAATTTTTTTCAGTCATATATAGATGAGTTATTTTTTAATTCCTTCAGTCATTTAAATAAAAATGTCTTCATACTTTCCAAATTTAGAACTTACTGACCCTTTAGTGATGAAAGGAAGAGATGCTTTTCTTTTTCTAACCTTTCCCAATAGAGGGAGCACTTTTAATTATTGGTACAAAGGCACTGTAGGCTGGCTTCTAGAAGCCTTGGTTTAGGGATTTAGGGCTGGATGGCCTTTCTTTTTTTTTTTTTTTTTTTACTGAGGCGGGGCTTTACCACTGAGCTGCATTCCCAGTCCTTTTTAATTTTTGAGACAAGTTTCACTAAGTTGCTTCAGGGTCTCACGAAGTTGTGAAAGCTGACCTCAAACTTGAGAAACCCTTGACTCACTGGAATTACCAGTTTGGGTCACCACACTGGGCTGAATGGTCAGCTTTTCATGACTAAACAGCATCTTTATCACCACAAAACTCCATAATTGCAGCATTTCTTAGCAAGAGAAAAGTTTAGGGTGAAATACTAATAAGTAAATTCTTTAATTTCTAAGCAAAATAACACAATTTATATTCCTTCAAAAATTGAAGTAAACAACTGTAATGTGAAAGGGAGAAATGATAGTTACCATCTCTTTGTATTTAAGCTACAAATTCCTAGTGATTGAAGACGATGCTAAATTGTAACAGCTGTGTGTGGGGTAGTGTATTTTTTGTAGTGTTAAACAAATGTGATTATTTTCAATGTCAAATTTATGTTCTCAGTGTTTTAGATATCTTCTAGAAATTTTGTTTTACTGAGTTCTCACATTGTTTTTTAAGGCCCTGAAAATAGCTTCCTAATGAATTTCAAAATTAAAATAAATTCCCAGTGGCATTCATAAATTTAAATATAAGCCCTGAGATATATCACACAACGGAGTATATGTGAGAATGCCCCAGGACATTTGAATGCTTAACCTGAAGTTATTATATAATTAAGAATAACCTCTCTTAGGTTGTTTATTTAGGAGGCTAACTGTAATTCCACTGTTGGACACTAAGAGAGTCTGAACCTCCTGGCAGCATGCTGACCTCAGAAAGTCTGAAAAGCTTTAATGCCTCATAGTGCCTCTTAATTCTTCATACAGATTCTTCTCACATATTGTCATATAAAATTGTTTTTAAGGGTCAAAATTATATATCCCATTGAAAAACATCAGATAGTATGAAACTTATGAAAAAGAAAATATTTTAGGTTATAGTTTATTTTTCCTAGCACCTAAGCTTCCTTTTACTTCTTTGATACTGGTATGTTCTGTTATCTAACCTGCAGCTATTATAAAGCTCAAACTTATTCTCCGGAATTCCAGGCCTAAATTATACATCAAATGAAGAAGGTTGACCAAGTTCAGCTGTCTTTTCTTCAGAATTGATGTTTGTAGTACAGTGAAATCATCCAAAGCAGATGAAATGATATATCTGGTAGGAAGTACCATGAGTTTTTCATATGAACAAACACTGGAACTGTACCTATGCACTCTGCCATGCTGTTATACAATATAAAAAGATGCCTGAACTCTCAGGTAATTTGTTTAGGCCAGATTTCAGGTGAAGTCTCTTGACCACCCTTGCCCTCCATTTTCCCATCTATAAAATTGGAAGTTCATCTAAAGGATCCCTAAGGTCTTTTCCAGCTTGAAAGTTCCATGGTAATAACAAATAATGCATGTATGCTTTAATCACAAATGGTCTGGGAAGGTCCATAAAGCCAACATATCTTTATTCTGTGCCTCGCCCGGCTTGGGTATTGGTATGGTCGAATGTTTCAGCTTGAGCTCTTATTTCTTCATATGCTGCCCCACGTTGGACATCAATAGACCTTTTGGGAGAGGGTGAGTAGAGCTTTATTTTCAAACTTTTTTTGGACAGACTTCTGTGTCTTAGTAACTGTCCTCTTTTGACTTTTGGGGATCTGGTTTATTTGTCCTTTCCTTTCCTTTGCTTCCATTTGCTCTCCTTCTCTGGTGAAATGCAGATTCTTTGGCTGCACTTTCCTCTGTTCCCTCTGAAGCACAGATTTCAGACCCGTTCGCACCAGAACCTACCCCTCCCACCACAACTGCTGAAATTGCAACTGCTTCAGCTTCTGCCTCAACTACCACCACTGTGACGGCTGTCACTGCTGACGTGGATCTCTTTGGAGGTTAGTCAGTCACATCTCTACTCTTTAATTTTCCTTTGGGGATGGCTCAAATTACCTGAGAGTTAAGGCCTCTTTTTACATTATATAACAGCATGGCAGAGTGCATAGGTACTTTTCCAGTGTTTGTTCATATGTAATTATCATTGCTAAATCCATCAACTTTGTCCCCTTTTGTAGCTGAGGTTGCAATAGGTTAAGCCCGTTTGATCTCAGTTTAGGATTTAAGTTCCTGCCAGAACTCTGATCCTATACATGCTCCTGCCCTGCAGTACTTATATGTGAATGAGACAGACTTCTTTGTCATATTCACGTTTGACTTTGGGGCCAGATTAGAACTAGCCCAGAGACTATTTGAAGAATATGGGAGGTAAATACTCTTAAGTCATTTCTTAATATTTAGGATGAAAAACATGTAAGAATAGCTCAGATTTGGAGTTCTCTAAAGAAAGTTTAGGGCTATGCCTAATTTTTGCAACTTTCAGCTTGCTCTGTCCAAGTTAAAAAAAGGATCATCTTGGACTTTGGAACTTTGAGACAACATCTGAAGCAGTACTTGACATGCTGATTGAAAACAGGTTTAGGTCAATCTTTGAAATGATTGTCTAGAAATGTGCTTTCCAAGCAAATGTGAGATACCCTAGACTCTGCCAGTGTAATATTCCTGGACCTGATGAACCATCTGAAGGCAGTTTATTTATATATTTCCATTTGAGTGGAGCTGGTGTCCAAACCTAGAGAAGTGCATATATCAGATATAAATATTGAGTAGTGTTATAGTCATTATAGTTTTGTATTTCTTCATTACCATATAATATCTTTACCAGAGCATTTTGAGAATGTAGTAAGGAATTTAGAGGGAACAAATGATAGGGCAGGAGGGAGTTGGCCGGCCCTGGTGGGATCAGTGCCCTCCCCTGGGAAGACACACTTACGCACTGTCACATACCACTCATCTGTGGCCCTGCCCCAGGCTCTGAGGTCGCCCAGAATAAATAGTGCTTAGCTGCTTGTCACGGCATTGCAGTCACTGGCTCACAAGGGAGATTTTGTTCCCCTTCACCATGCTGCCATGCCTACAAGGAGAAACCTGTTTTCCAAAAAGCAGAGGAGAGAGGGTTACACATCCTTCTATGTTTTATTATGAAGAGTCTCTAAAAAAGAAAATTGGTTTTTCAGTTATACCACTGTATCGGAAATCAAAATTTTAAGTTTTAGCTTAAATATATAAAATCAACTTCTTACCTCCTTCTCCCTGCCCCCTTTATTAGTGTTGGGTTTGGATGATTTCCCATAGGTTTGTGTTAATAGAAAAACTAGAAGGAAAATGGAAAATGTGGACAGGATAGATAATGATTGTGTGCTGAAATCTTTCTACAGTTTTTGCTATTTAAATTTTTGGTTTCTAGTCCACCTGTTAGGAGTTTGATTACCTCTGAGAAATCAGTCAACTCTGTCTTGTGTCTCTCATAGCCTTCTCAAATAATAAAACCTAAGATATTTCTCTGAAATAGTCTTTGGGCGTTTATGTGGTTTGTCCTTGTCATTTGTCACTACTTTGATTTTATTTATCAAATAGGAAAATATTTATGTTTGAATTTTTTTTCATATGACATTCTTTTTTACCTTTAAATACAAGTTTCAAGGACTAGTACTTCAGTCACATAACTTAATGCCAAAGAACAGGACTGCCCTTGTGATTAGTATTCTTCCTAGCCATCTGGCTGGAACATGAGCAAAGATGAGTTCATCTGCAAATCTCATCATAATCATTCTATTGATCTGCATAATTCTGTGAAGTGTCTCCTGGCCTCTGACAGCTGTCAAAGCTCTATCCTCTGTCTCCAGGTGTCTATATATGTCACTGTTTTCCTGTTATCTTGCATGTGCTTAGTTGGTTTATAAGAAGTCATTTAGAAATTTTACTTTAAATAGAAACATAAACTTAAATCTCTTTGAGCATATTGTGTGACCATTTTAATATATTGTCTCTCTAAATTGGGCAAGTGGGAAAACTCTAATAAGGTCACTAGTTATATTTTGTGTATTCAACTTTAAAATGTATCTTCTTCAGGTTGCAAGTAATGTTTATGACAAGTAAGTAGATTTCTATGAAAATAAGCTTAATGGCTTTCAATTTTAGAAAAATCACTGTTTAGTCTCATGATTATGAAATCCAAAAACATTTAAATTTTTCTGTCTTTTAGTATTATACATGAATTATAAATTTGGAAACTAGAAAATATCTGTTGTTTTTAAAGAAATATTCAAAGTTATATCCACATAGTATTTTAGTCCTATCAATGTAGGTAGTTCATTTAAGTCATTAAAAAATGTCTTTTCAGATACATTTACTAAATGTTTTATTTCTTTAAGGTGAACTTTTAAGAAATAGAATCTTCTTTTTGTGGTCATGCAGAACAAAATTATAAGGCAACAATATGCTTAACAATTCAGTAAAATGCATAGATATTGATAAAAATGAAAGACAAAATATTTAAAAACATCCTGTTTTTCATTTATTCAAACTTCACTAATATAGCACATTGGTTTATAGCAACCTGGGGTTTTCTAAGCACTAGAATGCTCAGTTGGTATTAATTCCTCAACATATCCACAAGGGGACCCTTTTAATGAACTTTTGTCAATTTGTGAACAATCCTTCATGAGGACAGGTCTGTGAGCATAAAACAAAGCTCCTAGAAACCAAAGAACTTAGCTCACAAGCCTGACTCCATTTCTACATGTTAGAGAAGTAAGTTAATAGATCTTCCTTAAAACCAGTACTTAAGTACTTAAGTAAGTACATAAGCACTTACAACTAGATTTCCTGTGATAGTTTTATTATCTGGGGTAAAGGGAACCAGAACGGTGACTTCTGGGCCATTGATGACAATGGTTGTCTTTGTGCTGAATATAGGAGTGATAAATGGCATATGTGGCTGTAGTAAACTGGAGATCAGTTCTGACTAGGAGAATCTGACTAGGTACTGGAAGTTTTGAGAAAGGTAGTCATGTGATTAAAAGTATTAGGGGAAAATTCTTTTCGGAGTGCTAGAAATAAAACAAAAACAAAAAAAAAAAAAAAAGAAAGAAACAGTAGGTTGCAGCAGTCAGCTCAGTTTGCTGGTGAGGGTCTGGCCTGAGTCCATCAGTATGGAGGAGCAGGAGCATGCATTTCCAGGAAATAGCACTAGTTGAAAAACTGGCAGAATGTAGAAATGAACTGCGAATGGCTAACAGGGGAAAAATAACTGGATTGGAAAAAGCTTGGTCTGCAAAACTGGAAAGATAATGCTGCCACTGATAATGGGGGATGGGGGCAGCTAGGTATTAAAAGAAACTTTTCTTGTCTTTTTTTTAACAACATGAAAATTTTATTTTCTCCCACAATTCTGGGGGCTGACTGGGCCCCGTGGGGCAGTTCTCGCTCAGAATCCTTTTTGTGACCACACTTCAACAGTGATGGTGGTGGCATCTGGAGACTCATTCATACCTCCTTCTCCTGGACTGAGCAGACTCAGACAGCTGGGGACTAGAGCTCCTGGGGCTTTTACTTTTAAGAAAAGCTTTGACAGAAGGAGATGAGTTAAGTTCTTAATGTTTAGTCTTAACAAGAGCAGCATTGGAAGGAGAGGTGTTGGTGACATGTGGCAGAGGAACCTTCTCCTAAGGATGAAATACAGATTTCACCTACTTAAACCTAAGTGATAACCTAGAGAGTCCATGAATATCTCCTTGACCCCTGACATGAATACATGTATCATCTTAGAAGGAAGGAATCATTTAATAGAAGGCTTCATGGTACATAACAGCACAGTACAGTGGGGAAACACACAAACTCCACCAGACAGCTGCAGGCCAAATCCAAACTCTGCCGTTTGCTGGCTGTATGACCTTGGCCAAGTCATGCGACTTTTTAAAATTTTTATTTTCTTTTAAGTGACAAATTAAAAAAAAAAAAAAAAAAAAATATATATATATATATATATATATATATATATACACACACACACACACACACACATATATATATAGTCATGTACAACATGATGTTTTGAAATACATATACATTGTGAAATGGCTAAATTAAGCCAATTAACATATGTATTATCTCATTAATCATTTCCTATGGTGAGAACACTTAAAATCTTTAAGCCTTGGTTCTCTTATCTACAGAATCAAAGTACTAGAAGCTACGTTACAAGATAGTTGCAAGATTTAGATTTAATAATGTTAAAAATATGACTACTGTTTGTTTCTACTCTTCCCATTATTATTGGCCTCCATTCCATGTCATATAGGGATGAAAAGAAAAACAGACCTGACAAAGCAGAAAATGTATGGTCCCCTCAACCTCCTCTTACACTTTTTTTTGTGTTTTTCTGCCCTTCTCTTAGGGTTTCATGGTGCTCAAAGTCTTCTGGTATCTGGGGATGTAGTTTTGCCTGCCCCTCCATGTAGTTTTCATTCCCCAAAATTATTTATTGGGCCTCCAGACATGACATATATTCCCTCAGTATAGCTGAGAGAAGCAATCAGATCAAATTACTCTATATGTTACTTGTGTTTTAAAAAAGTCCCTTTGAAATGAGTCTCAAAATTTAGTGCTTTCATATTCCACAAAACACTAGGCTTCGGTGTGTTAATTAAATGTGTGTTGTACCTAGCCCAGTTTGGGGCATATGGAGTTCAACTGAGAAGCAAGTATCTTGACTGTAGGACTTCCTAGATCTTAATATTCCAAATAAATCTCTGAGGAGGGGTATAAGGAATATACTGTGTGGCATTTCCCAACCATATTTAACAAATTCTTTCTTTCATTTTTTTTTTCCTTTGTACTGGGGATGGAACCCAAGGGTACTTTACCATAATTAACATGATGTGCTGGCAGAAGTGCATTGGAAATGCATATACCAGCCATTTATTAAGTAGGTATTTTTAAACTGGTCCTGCCTGGATGTTAGTGAACTTCCTCCTATAAATAAAAATGTACTCATCATCTAATTTTAATCTGTCAATAATAAATCATTTTCCAAAAAACTAGGAAAATACAATAATATTTTAAAACAACAAATTTAAGTAGAAATGAAGACATTATAGCATCATGACCTAATTTGTTTATCTTTATTCCTTTAAAATAAGTACTTGATGCTAATTGTCATGGATAGTAAAGACTTAACATTTATGAATAGTTAGTAAACCTTTCATGTTGACAGTATAATTTTGTCTGTACTAGATCATAAAAAATTTTTAAATTAAATTGATTGTTTACATTGCCATCATCTATTTAATATTATTTGCATTAAAAAAAGACATTATAGTAACATAGTGAAAAAGTATCACCTAGACATGAAAGTTTAATGGCTTAAATTACATGATAAAATTATTTTTGTATTTTAATTTTCACATCCATTAATTTCTAATGATACATAAAACATGCTTCTCAGAGCCCTTATACAATGAGAATCTGGTTGGATCCTTATAGGCCTCAGCAGTATCGATACTCCTCCATTTGCATGTTAACTAACATGAAGGTGCACAAAGAATAATTGTTTTATGATTGCCAAAAGTGCATGGGCCATAAAAATGCATTTTTAAAAATTCATGTTGTATAAGGGAGCCTTCTTCACAATTTAACTTGGTTCTTTTACTATATTTTCTTCTCTTTTATTCCTTTAATTTCTGTTATTTTAAAAACCGCGCCCAAGATGCCTTTGCAGCTTCTCCTGGGGAGGCCCCTGCAGCATCCGAAGGGGCCGCCGCACCAGCTACCCCAACCCCGGTAGCGGCAGCACTTGATGCATGCTCAGGAAATGGTGGGTTTACAGTCACGAGCCCGTCTGTTACTTTTCTGTCCTAATGTGAAACCCATGTAGTTAGATGTGGCCATATGTTTTTCTAATTTTATTTTCTTCTGAGTGTAAACTATCATTCATCATAACTGAATAAATGATGCCAGCACATAAAACATTAAGACAATGAAGTGCATACTTATCAAAATTGACAATTCCTCACAATTGACAATTTTTGTCAGTGCAAGTATGCTCTCTTAATGTTTGTTTTTTTTCTTCTAATGCCATATTGTACTCTTTTGTAACATTGAGTTCAACTATATCGGCATGTTTTAATGAACTTTCAAAGCTACCCAACTGATTAAATTAAGGAAGCGTTTGAAGGATAACAACCACGGATCCTAGACTATAGGCTAATCTCACAGTACTTTACAGTGTTTCAGATTCTTAATTTGTGATACCTATACTATATTTATTTATTTTTTTCTTTAGAAAAACATTCTAGTTACTGGCCCCTGCTAATAGGATAGTAGTTAAATCCAAGCAGCCTGAGGCCTAGCTAGTGTGTAAATGTGTGTAAGCTGTCTCTTACCCGTACTTACACCACTGTCTCTTGTCTCTTCCCTTGCTGATGCTCTGTATGTCTCCACTTTGCTTTCCAAAAGACCCCTTTGCCCCGTCTGAAGGTAGTGCAGAGGCGGCACCCGAGCTGGACCTCTTTGCAATGAAGCCACCTGAGACCAGCGTTCCTGTAGTTACCCCTACAGCTAGCACAGCCCCTCCAGTTCCCGCAACCGCCCCTTCTCCTGCTCCCGCCGCTGCAGCTGCCACTGCTGCCACTACTGCTGCCGCAGCCACCGCCGCCGCCGCCACCACCACCACCTCCACCACCTCTGCCGCCGCAGCCTCCACCACCGCTCCTCCTGCTCTAGATATCTTTGGTGGTAATTTTTTGTTCTTGTTGTTGTTGAACTCTTTCCACCTGATGGATTGAATTCTGGTCCTTGAGATGTACTGCGTATCCAAGCCTTCCTGCATGAATACCCTGTCACTGAATGGTTCTTTAGAAACCATGTGCTACTTAATTCAGAATTCTGCCAACTGCTCATTCAGAACCGGGGAGTGGTGCTGTTTCAGGCTTGGTTTTCAAATTGAGTAAAGGCATGTGTGTTCTTGGTCTTAGATCTGTTTGAGTCTGCTCCTGAAGCTGCTGCAGCGCCTAAGCCAGATGCTGCTCCTAGCATAGACCTGTTTGGTACAGGTAAAACCAAAGCAACCCTTTGTTTTTCTTTTAATTTAGTTTTCTTAGATGTTTTCATGAATAACCTTTGTACTCACCTGTGATAATGCATTTGTTAGATTTGTGACTTTGGTTTCAGCTTTCTGCTACTTACTTCTGCTTGGTTTTGGTTTGTTTCACTTTTGGAAGATGCTTTCTCCTCTCCACCACAAGGGGCCTCTCCTGCGCCTGAGAGTACTCTCACTGCTGACCTCTTATCCGGTGAGTGCTTTGCCAGGGCCCAGCCTTCAGAGCTGTCTCATGGGGGTTATACCTGGAGAGGCCCATGCAACAATTTGAGAACAATCTTATGTTCTTTTAAACTCAGAATCCACTTATGAAAGAGGTCTCATTCTTTGACCCATCACCAACTGATGAGGGTAATATATCCAAAGCTGGTTAAAAAAAGAAAATTTCACATTAAATCTCTGACTTCAAGGAGTTAAATTTTATTTTGTTTGGGAACATATGTATTTTTAAATCTATTTTATTTTCTTTTTTATTATTGTTTCTTTTTAGTTATACATAATAGTAGAATCCGTTTTGACATAATAAAAACATGGAATCTATCATCTTCTAGTTCAGTCCCAGTACTTCTCTACTTGCTTTTCTTAACTGCTAAGACTGTACACAATCTTCTGCCTGGAGTTAACCATGCAATCTCAAGGTGCCATTTGTCAAGGCTCCTGGTTTCATTTCCTTTGAATGACATGCACTTCGTGTCTGCTTCACTGCAGTGGATGCATTTGCAGCACCATCTCCTGCAACCACTGCCTCTCCAGCAAAGGTGGAGTCTTCAGGCGTGATAGACCTTTTTGGGGGTGCGTATCTCTCCTCCTTTGACACTTAAGGAGTCTCTTTTGTTTTTTCCAGAGTAGTTTCTATATCTTCTGTTTCATTATATTTCATCATTTTTTTTTCTTTTGAAGTAAAGTTACTTCTGTCTCTTAAATGTAAACTTAGTTTTTTTAAGGTCTTTTTTATTTCTTTGCCATCATCTCCTTCATCCTCATCAGATCATCATAATTTTCAGTGCATGACCTAACAAAACCAGATACTTTTTCATTTGAAGTCTTCATTTTTTTCAACTTTTTGTTCATCCTAATATATAATCACCTGGTTGTAATTTCCTCATACTATTCTTCCTTGATGATTCTGATCTGTTGGTTAAATCAACATTCCTAAGTTCTTAAAAGTGGTATAAATATAAACCAGATAATTCAGAATTGAAAACAAGCCAGCCAAAACTGAAAGCATACATATTTGATGTTATACACTGTGTCATGTGGTTTACTTACATTGATTTTAATGTTTTAAAATTCTTCCAAAGAATTGGAAAATGTTTCCCTGACTTAACTATTTTCTCTTCTTCCTTTATATACCTTAAAACAGGAAGATATATTGAATTAATTGTTAAACTACTTATTTGGATGATAAATCTAAAGTCTTCTGTTAGTAGTCATTTTACAGGAAGAGAGTTTGAAGTGACTTTGTGAAGATCCATAATGTAGATGGCTCTGGGCTAAAATACCATCCTTTGCAAGTTATGCCCACATTGAACATCTACTGTACATTGAGGCATCAAGGATATGCCATGATGAGTACATGAGGGTTCAGAGATGTCACAATTTCTGATATTCTGCATCTCAAAACTTGGGTCCTGAAGTGCCCAAATACTGAAACTTGATATTTAGGTGCAAGTGGAGTTGCTACTGTTGCAGCTGCATGAATTAAGTTTATTAAAATTAATGGGGAAATTGTTTTACCTTTCTGTAAAATTTTTAAAATCTCAATCCTGTCTTCATAAGTGATAGTATTTAGTCCAAAAATTTCTTAAAAAAAAAAAACCTCTTAATCTTAAAAGGAGGTGTTAATTCCTAAATATAATATTTTAGAATTCTTTTGAGAGAATAAGCTATTCAAAGGATAATTCAATTCACTCAATCACCATACAGAATGTTGTATCTATGCATGTCTCTGTATGACATAAAATTACTCTTACTCACTGTACTTACTGTTTACACTCTCTTACTTTTTTGCTGCACAATGGATAATGGATAGATGCATTTGGAAGTAGTGCTTCTGAACCCCAACCTGCACCTCAGGCTGCTTCTAGTTCATCAGCATCGGCAGATCTACTAGCTGGTAATTAATAAAATTAAAATAAAATGATATTTTGTAGAAATATGAATATATTTTTATATGTAACATATTACATGAATTGCAGGGTGTATTTCTTTCTTTTCTCTTCAAGATATGAAATTGAAAAACAAGCTATTATATAATAGAGGTTGATTACTTCCCAGGATTTAATGAAACTAGTCTTAAATCACAGTTGTAACGAGTCACCCTGTGGCTCTTAGGGTGCTCATAATCTGCCTTACTTTCAGTCAGCACATTTCTTTTTGTTTACTAAAACAGAAATATGCTTGTGTAGCAATTTTATCTTATGATTCCTATGCCTATATGGTTTTTGAAGGCATTGGTGGGGAAATGTACCTTGATTTTGAGATTTGGTTTTAGAATGTGTGAATCCCTCTAGAAGAAACTGTTATATAGATTTCTACCACTAAAGTGAAGCAGTTACTATATATATCATTTGGGTGATCCCAGCTCAGCAGGACTGTAGTGTGACACAGATTAACATGATTTGCCTAGAATCATTACTTATTGCTAGGATAGTGTAGATTAAAAAAAAAAAAAAAATTCAAAGACAGTAAAAGTCAAGTATCAGTTACTGATAGTCAGACCTAGAAAATTATTCATTGTTAAGACCCCAATAGTAAGTTTAGGTTCAGATTATGAATGAACTTGCAAAATGCTGTTGGCTTACAATTTTACTTGTGCACACAACAGGCAGCATAGCAGTAGTACCACAGAGGCCTCAGACCCTCACATGTAGCTTCCCATGTTCCACCCTAGTCCCTCCCCAGAAAGGATGCATTTTGGTTCCAAAGTTGACAAGGAGTTGATGTGAGTGTGTTGTGAGTCACATCCGCACAGGGAAGCCACCACATCTAAAATCTCTCAGCTAAATACCATGGCCACCATGTGGTCCTATATAGGGTAAGTTCCTAGTTTTAAGTGTAGTTGTAGTCTGTAAATTATAAGTAGTATATGAACAGTCCTGACACCAAGTGTAACAGACTTGGAAAGTTTGTTTTTAGACTGGAATTGTGTAGTGGCAGATCCTAAGGGACCCTCCTCAACCTTCAGAGCTACAGGAAATCTGGCTTGTCAGGTCTTTCCTCAAGAAGCTGGAGGAGGTAGCAACAGCACAGCTGTTAACCTTTCCTTCCCTCAGTAATTCATTGTGGTTTCTTCAGTCTGTCCTAGGGGCAGCAACATTTCTTTTTCAACTTTCTCATTTTCTCCAGATCCCTTAATCAAACATGACACTCTTATTTGCTAAGTCCTCTCATTCCAGTGACAGCCAGATGGTATTTTCCTATCCAATTCAAAGTCAGAGGTTGGTGACAGAGTCAAGAGGTTTAATCCTAGGGGATGAGATTAGGATCTAAAGCATGTCTGGAACAAGTAGACAAGGTTTTGTCACCAATACCTAGTGAAACAGCAGGTGCCTGAGGCCCTGGGAGAAGTATGCAAAGAATTGCAAGTTAGCTCACTTCACCTAATGTAAGCCTATTCAACTGACCTGTCCATTCTGAAATCATAGTAAAATGGATTAGAGAAGAGAAAATCAGTGATAAAAGCTACAATACCATTTACATAGGTCTTATTTATTGGGCACTTCCATTTCTTCCTCTGCATCTTATGATTCTTTCAATGGTGGGAAAAGTTGTGTATTGTATCACCTTTCTTGTTTCTTTTTTTTTCTATTTAAATCAATTAATATTTAGTGAAAATAGGTTTATGTGGGTGTTAATGTCTAATTTGCTTTCAAAACAATTTAATTTATACATATAGGAACATCTGATTTACTTGGTACAGGCAGCTCTTCCTTTACCTTATATCCTGATGTAAGAAATTTTAAATTACTTTTCATTTTGGTAAGGTTTAATTCTAAGGGCCAGTTTCTCATACTTTCCTCTGTTTTGCTTATTGAAAAACATTGCTCATACTTGCTTCACTACCAAAGCCTCAGGAAGTTATGTTCTTACCCCCCCAAAAATTATCAATATAATTCTATCCTGTGAACTTCCCTAATCTCCTCCCCAGTAAGCCCTGCTAATATACAGAACACAGTCATGTTCATTTTCATAGTCTAGCTGATAATAGCTATTTCTGTGTTTTCACATTGCACATTTTTGCTTAATGGACATCAGTAGAACAAATATTTGGAGCTCTGCATTGTGGCAGTTTACAGTGAAACTTAGCACTTTCTTTGTACTTATGTATGTGTGTTTTGTAGGGAAGAATCATCCAAGCCCAAAGTCTGCAAATAAAGAAGAACATTAAAAAGCAAATGAGCTTAATCATAAATAACAAGCCTACAAATGTGGCCAGATTTAAATCTTCATTTGAACCAGAGAGAGAGAGAGAGTAAGAGGAGAGATGTATTTTGTGAAGATTTCTCCAGTTTTATATTATTAGCTGTTAGCAATAAACCTGTTTTGTGAAGAATATAAAAGAAAATAATACATTTACACCATCATGGGATTGGTTATTGGGCTGAGGACTTTCATCTCAGCCTGATTAAGATTAGAATTTTTTTTAAAAGAGAGAGAGAGAGAATTTTAATTTTTATTTATTTATTTATTTATTTTTTAGTTTTTGGTGGACACAACATCTTTATTTGCATGTGGTGCTGAGGATTGAACCCAGGCCTCACACATGCCAGGCGAGCATGCTACTGCTTGAGCCACATCCCCAGCCCAAAGATTAGAGTTTTTTGAAAAAATATGTTTACATGTAAAAACAATAAGAGAATATATATATATATATATATATATATATATATATATATATATATAATTAAGTGTTTAAAAGATTTTAGATATTCTCTCCAAACCATTCTGATTATTTGTAGGATAAAGATATTATTCATGCCAGGTGCAGTGCTGCATCCTATAATACCAGCAGCTGGGGAGGCTGAGGCAGGAGGATCACGAGTTCAAAGCCAGTCTCAGCAAAAGTGAGGCACTAAGCAACTCAGTGAGACCCTGCTCTAAATAATACAAAATAGGACTGGGGATGTGGCTCAATGGTCAAGTGCCCTGAGTTCAATCCCTGGTACCCCAAAAAAAGAAATAAAGAAAAAAAAGAAAAGAAAAAATAAAACTACCTTTTTTGCTCAAGATACACAAACTGAAAATATCAGTGTTTGAAAGATATAGAGATTCTGGATAACAAAGGTAAAAATAGAATGAAGAAAAATTAGATGTATTTGAATAATATGCCTCTGAGGTCACCATTCAAGGAGGACAACCATAGACACAAGTCCAAGGTAACTGCATCATAAATCTGTGTTAGGATAGGAAAGTGCCCTGTCCTATCTTTAATCCCAAAGACAGGGAACAATGTGAGCCAACTTAATGAAGCCCTTTGTAGTTTTGCATTCCTTCTCTTAACCACATTTTAGCAGAGCCACAGAATTCCTTGAAGTGAGTTTAAAACACCAAAATGTTTCATGTGGAATTAAAAACTAACAACTTCTACTAAGGGAAGGTGTGCGGAGGGCCTACTAGTTCTATCATACTGTGTAGGAGTAGTAACCAATCTGAAAGCATCAGATAACAGGCTCTGAGACAACTCCTAGAAAATACTATTTCAGACCCATTAGTGGGATGTATTAATAACTGATTGCATCATTGACAATACATGAAACAATATCATCTTTACATTAATGGAGCAAATATTAGGTTTCAGGATAGTATTGTAGAAGTGCTTTTATTTACCAGTAGTTTTAAATTTTCACTCTCCTGACCAAGATGATGTGATGTTTAGGTATATTATGGTGCTCAGGTTCAATGTATATGTATTAATAGTACTTCATTAATTGCCTGTGTTCTTTCCCTTTGGAAAGATACATTTGTAAGCCTAATCATCAGTGATTAAACACACCATATCTGCAGATGGTTGAGACCCTGAAGGTTGGCTATTCAGTTATCACAGGACAGTTCATATATGACTATGGGACATCTAGAAGCCCATTTATTATTATCCTATTTCCAATTCCAGTCTATAGAGCATCTTTCTTAATATCACTTAGAACCATACAGAAAGATAATGGTTTGGGTTTTTCTATTATTTACCTCTATTCCATGGCTATAAAGCTTCAGTCACTTAACAGAAGTTTCCCAAGCTCCTCATTTCCTGTTTAGTTCTTTATATAGTATAGCAATAGTGGATCTCTTCTTTAAAATAATCAATTGATCATTTTATATCACTTAATATATATTTAATTACCCTAGACCTGTGAGAGCATATACTTCATAAGAACTGAGTATACTGAAGCCAGCCATGGTGGTACATACCTATAATACCTTCTACTTGGGAGGCTGAGGCAAGAAGATTGCAAGTTCAAGGCCAGACTGGGCGACTTAGCAAGACCCTATCTCAAAATAATAAAATAAAAAGGGCTGGGAATGCAGCCCATTGTAGAGTATTCCTGGGTTTAATCCCCAATGCCAGAGGAAGAGGGGGCTGAATATCAGGCAAAAAAAAAATATCCTTCCAGATGTAAGTTTATGAACCCATACAAGGATAAACTCCAGCCTTATTCCTGGGTGTGAGAAACAACAGTCCATGCTGTGCAGCGCCAAGGAGCTGGGCTCTGGAGGATTCTTCAGTGGAATTCTGGATCTGCCGTTTGTCATAACATGACCTTGGGTGCATTATTTAATCTCTCTGACCTCAGTTTTCTCATCTGTTAAACCTTTTGGGGTGGTTGTAAGGATTAAATTAGCTAAATTAAATGTATGTTTTAGATTGAACCATATGAAATTACTGTTTTTGTGAGATCTCAATGATCAAATTTAGGCAATTCATGTGTTTCAAATGGTTCTACCTAAAAAAGAATGCTTATAACAATGCCTGGCCCTTGGGGAGCCTCATGCCAATGTCGGCTTTATAGTTCAATTCCTTAGAAGACGCACTGATTTTTTCAGGGACCATTATTATTTATTCACCTGTAGATGTGGTGTTGGCTTCAAGTGAAACACATTAGTACTAAGCAGATGAACCCTGTAACAAGGTGTGCTTTTTCCTTTTCTTTCTGCTGAATCTTGGCTAAGTGCTCAGTTTCTCTGTAGTCACTTCCTCCAGCCATGGAATGGTAGTATTCCAAAGATAGACCCTAGATCTTAAGGTACTTTCCAATACTACTACACTGTTTCTGGAATATAGTGTTCTTTCCTTGGCCAAGTTTTCAGAAATCCAATCAAGTGCAGCTATCACATTCACTATAACAAGAAAAGTACACCATATAACAATGATGTAAATTGACCACAGCCATATTTAGTTAGAGGAATAAGGTAATGTTTTTTAGAAATCAGCATTAACACAGCCACCCATCTCCCTAAAAACAAAGCAGTTACATAAAAAAAAATAGTTACTTCTAGCCTGTCTTTTCTCCATGTTATTGGTTTTTAGGGATCTGGAAATTATATTTTCCTCAGTAAAGAAATCTAGAAGTGATGCTAATGTCACTCAAATACTAAAATGTGAGCACTGTGAAGTTGAAAATTACCATTTTCTAATAAGGAACAATTTTTCCAAACTCATGATTTTGTTTGTTTGCTGTGAAACTGGGGGTTAAAACCAGGGCATCACAGATACTAAACAAATGTTCTACCACTAAGCTACATCCCCTATATAGACCTTGTTTTGATACAGGTCTATATAGGTTGCCTAGGGTGGTCTTGATTTTCAGTCCTCCTGTCTCCTCAGCCTCCTGAGTAATTGGGATTACAGAGTTGTGCCACCACACTCAGTTGAATTTTTTTCATATATGTATACAAGGAAAGCATAAACCCAAGTCACTGTCCATTTCCAGGAACAGCAAGGCATAAATATTATGCTACCTCCTTTAAAAAAAATTGGAGAGTTTAATGGACGTTATTTTCAAAATTATAAATTTGTTTTATGTAAATTGGAATGTAATTTTAGTGAATTTTTTTGAATCATTGTGTTTTTGCAAACTGTGAAGAATAGGTGATCATGTATCTAGTTTTGAAAGAAATGTATGTCCGTACTGTGTATAACAAAGACTTCTAATAGTAATTAATTCTTTTGATAGAATATCAATTGATGCCTTAAGAAATTATGTGATGGGAATTTAGAGTATTTGCCTACCATGTGCAGAACCCTGGATTTGATCCCCAGCATGGGGCAGGTTGGGGGTACACTGCACAAGAAGGGAAAGAGCAAAAAACGAAGAGACAAAACTTATTTCCTTCACAGGTTGCATATTTTCATACAGAAGCAATACATAATAACTTCTTCTCTTTCTGTTACTTGAAAAAAGTCATTTTCTTCCAACCTTCAAAGATCAAATATTTAATTGGTTGTTTGGTTAATTTTCACCAATCTTTAATGTCTCCTTATCTTCTATACTCAAAAATGTCCTTTATTCATCAAACATAATTCAATGTCTTAGGCACTGTGCTGAATATTCATGAAAAGACAAGAAAAAAAGATACAGCTCCCAACTCCACAATACCATCTCTGGGTTTTTGGATTTGGGGAGCATGGGGATAAAGATATATGATGAGGATCTGGAGATTATATTTAAACTCCTTATAAGGAGTAAAGTGGAGCTACATACCAGGCACTAAAGACAATGGTGTGAATATGGGATGTGGGTGGTGGGTAGTGGAATGCAGCTGGCAGGAGTGGGTGGCAGGATAAGGCAAGGAAGATCTCCCAGACAGGCATGTGGCACAGGGAATGGTGGTGATAACTGCAGCCGAGTATGTAGGGATGATGAGGGGCCAGTGGGCAGACATGGACGGGGCGACTGCTCTACAAAGGAATTCACATTAAAGAAATCTGAAAGCCTTGAGAAAAGTAACCTTCAACATTTTCTACTCAAAAAGATCATGCTGGGTGCACTGCAGAAGCTGGATGGGAAGAGGTTCACACTAAAGACAGGACCTCCCGCCACCCCCATATTTATAAATCTCAAGAGCAGTGATGGGAGGGACCTATTCTTGGTAACAACGATAGACCTAAAACATATATGAAAAATATTAAGGAGGATTTGATGCATGTTTTTCTAAGTTATATTTTATTATACTACGCCAATGTGTGCAACTAATACTTGGTATTGATTTGAAGAAATGTAAAATGTCCATGTAATGAAAATCATTATATGAATTTTAACCCTAATGATTCTTTCTTTGTTTTATGTTCTACATTATAATAACTGATTTGGATGCCACAGGTTTTCTTAATAAGGGTATATATTCTTGGGCTGGGGTTGTGGCTCAGCAGTATAGCATTCACCCAGCACGTGAGAGGCCCTGGGTTCAATCCTTAGCACCACATAAAAATAAATAAATAAAATAAAGGTATTGTGTCCAACTACAACTAAAAAATAAATAAATATTTTTTAAAAATAAGGGTATATATTCTTGTGTGCTATCTTGTTCATAATCAAATTAAGTCTCTAACTAATACATGGCATATTAAGATACTTGGAAAACTTTTTTAAAAATTCCCCAGTTTCACTAATCTACATGAGTTCATTTCCTTTTCAGTTTTTTTTTTTTTTTCTGTTGTTATGGCTTTTACCATATTTTTCTGCAACTATTTTTTTTTCAGGATTTGGGGGTTCTTTCATGGCCCCTTCTCCATCACCAGTGACTCCAGCTCAGAATAATCTGCTACAGCCCAATTTTGAGGCAGCTTTCGGAACAACACCTTCAACGTCTGGCAGCAGCTCCTTTGATCCTTCAGGTAAGGCAGTGATTTTCAAACACTTTTGTCATTTATTCTGATAAATAAAATGCACCACCTAAAGTTCGTGCATTTTCAGGAAATTTACAACAGGAAAATATTGAGTGATAACCTGGTGCTAAAACTTCACAAAATCTCTCATTCTATACCTTAAATCAAAATTTCCAATACATCTTGGTAGCCTTAAGAATAACTGCAATCCTTTCTGTTTCTGTTTTCTTTTTTTTAGCAGAAATCTAATTTAACATGCACATCATCTATATGCATGAGTGTACATGCACATGATTTATAGCTGGTAAAGGGAAAACAAGTGCTTTGCACTCAATCTTCGTACAGTCCCTGAATATGAGGACACCCCTCCCCTTGCTATTGCTTACACCTTGTGAAGCTTGCATGGCCCTCAGTTTTATAAAGTGAGACACAAGTAGTTTCTTTGCTGCCTTTAACCTTTCGTCACTGCTGTCACTCTGTTTGTATTCTCTTCCATTCTCTACTCTTCCCATGCTGGGTCCTTACTACAAATTTTCAATTGGTGAGTTTTTGGCAATTAAATGTGTTTCAGAAACACCCTAAATCTACTCCCTGCCTGACAATTTGGTTGCTTCTATTGCCAGTGCCTACTTGAATGTTGTCCTTCTTTACTTTAGAGTTACTGTATTGTGTTTCTCATAGATATGTATAACTTTTTGATAAAATTCAACAACCACAAAGTTTTTTATGTAGCTATTAGCAATATCTCATGAAAACCCCGAGTCTGTATTTTGAATGGTCTTTCTGTATTCTAGGAACTGAATAAGTGATATATGTTATGTGGTGATCAGGAACTACCACGGATGGCATTTTATTTCTAATATCTAAAATACCTTTTAATTTAAATAGCCCCTAAAAGTAGAACCAAAATTAATTTCAGTTATTAGAGGAAAATTAACATTACTACTTCTTAAGTCAACTGTTTTTCAGATACTTATCTCTAGTTGCCAACCATTAGATCAGATTGTATTTTGATATTAATTTCATAGAAGACTCAATCTTATTTACTCATTTAAGAATAATTTTTAAAGTACACATCTTAGGTTTCCAGAGTAAATAATTTAGGTTTTGCTGTAAATCACTACCATTTTGAATAAAAAGTGCTTTAGTGGTTGTTTTTAATAAGAGTAGCAATGGTTACCACTTATTGAGTGCCTACACAGAGCAAGCATTATAATAAAAATATAGGTATATATATTTAACTTAATCTTCACAACAAAGCTATATATTAGTGGTACTCGTGTTCACGTTTACAGATAAGAAAACTAAAAGCTCAGAGAATAGCTTTCTCAGGGTCTCACAGCTGGTGAGACATGCAGCTGAATTGCAGCCCCAATCTGTGTTCTTTCCTGTACATTATACAGCTTTTTTTTTCCCATTTTTCCATCTTTGTTCATGTCCATTAGTATTTCCATACTTTCTGAGTAGACATATATAGATATGTTCTTAGTGTTCTAGTCATGAAAAGAGTGAATTACATGCCTTCTTTTATAAGAATGTATATTCACTTATTTCCATAATTTTTCAAGATAATAGCTCTTTGATTTTGAACATGGCTCATTTTTCAATTAGTCTGAACCTGGTCTATTTGATTTCCAGTTTTTGATGGTCTAGGTGATCTTCTGATGCCAACCATGGCACCAGCCGGGCAGCCTGCACCTGTCTCAATGATACCACCCAGTCCTGCAATGGCAGCCAGCAAAGCCCTTGGGAGTGACCTTGATTCATCTCTTGCCAGCTTAGTAGGCAGTGAGTAGTTTAGTTTTCTTTAACTGAAGCATATGTTAATTGGTTTTTCTGTCTTTTCGTGTTTTGTTTCGGGTTTCACTCATAGGTAAGTTTATCAAGGATTGGATAGAAATACTTAGTGTTTCATACTATACAGTTCCTCGGGAGGTAAAAACTTGCTACTGCATTTTCTCATAAACAGTATGTATGACACTTAAAAAAAAAAACCTCGTGGTAATTTACCATGTTAAATAGCTAAGTAAGAAAAGCATATGATTATCTTTCTTGTATTTTATTTATTTATTTAATTAGGTATATACGACAACAGAATGCATTTTGATTCATTGTACAAAATTGCAGCATAACTTTTTATTTCTCTGGCTGCACACCATATAGCATCTCACTATATGTGCAGTCATACATGTATCCAGGGTAATGATATCCATCTCATTCTACCATCTTTCCTGCCCCCATACCCTCTCCACTGCCATTCCTCCCTTTACCTAATCAAAGTTCTTCCATTTTTCCCATGCCCCCCGCCTTTATGGATCAGCATCCACTTATCAGAGAGAATACATCCATTTTTGGTTTGGGGGGATTGGCTTACTTTGCTTAGCATGATATTCTCCAACTCCATTTATTTACCTGAAAATGCCATAATTTTATTCTCTTTTAACGCTGAGTAATATTCCATTATGTATATACACCACAATTTCTTTATCCATTCATCTACTGAAGGGCATCTAGGTTGCTTCCACACTTTAGCTATTGTAAACTGAGCTGCTATAAACATTGATGTGGCTGCATTACCATAGTATGCTGATTTTAAGTCCTTTGGGTATAGACCAAAGAGTGGCATAGCTGGGTCAAATGGTAGTTCCATTCCAGGTTTTCTAAGGACTCTCCATACTGCTTTCCAGATTGGCTGTACCAATTTGCAGTCCCAGCAACAATGTATGAGCATGCCTTTTCCTGTACATCCTTGCCAGTGCTTATTGTTTGTATTCTTGATAACTGCCATTCTGACTGGTGTGAGATGAAATCTTAGAGTAGTTTGATTTGCATTTCTCTAATTACTAGAGATGTTGAACATTTTAATCTAAGTCATCAAAAAGATAGTTAAGGAGCATACACAAGTATGAAACCAAGTTCATTATGCATAATAAGTACTTAATTCTCCATCCATTTGAAAATTAGAATACAATAAATTATATTAAATGCAGAATATTTACAAGTTATGTATCTGAGTTTCAGTCATTCATTTAACAAATATTTATTCTATATCAGGCATTCTTCCAGGCTTTAGAGATAAGTCATGAAGAAAATAGATACTATTTCTATCCTTATGGCCGTTGGGAAGGGCAGAGACAAACAGTAAATAATTGAAAATAGGCAAATTCTATAGTATGTGGAGTCACAACTGCCATGGAGAGAAACCGAACAGGCAGAGGAGAAGTGGGAGCGAGCACTACAGATAGTAGAAGCCTTACCAAGAAAGTAAAATTTGAGCAAAAAATTGAAGGTAAAGGAGTAAACTATGTAGCTATATGAAGGACGGCATTTACAGGCCAAGGAAGAAGTCAGTGCAAAGACATTGGGGCACAAGATAGCCTGGCAATTTCAAGGAATAAGAAGGAGACTAGAGGCTGGAGCTGAATAATGAAGGAGTAAGGCCTAGGCGATGAGGGCAGTTATAAAAAAGATTGACCTTTCCTTTTAACTCTGAATTTTAATTTCCATTAAAATGAATGGGTTTACCATTGCAGATATCTTTCATGACTCCAGACAGTATCAAAACCTTAGCAGATCACTGATACAGACTTCTTTAACCTATGCATCGTCCTGTGTACAAGCTTTTTGTTTTTCATTCGCTGCTCTTGTTTGGGGCATCTATGAAAATGCTTTCATGACACCCAGGGAGAAGATAATTGAATGTTTCCTTCAACTCACTGGGAGATTTCATGTTTTGAATACTATAATATATCACCTAAGTCCCCCTTCATAAATAAAGAACTCATATCCTATGGTATCGTAAGTGTGTTCAACCAACAGCCCCCAGCTTCAACCATCTTTGAGAATTATCTCAGCCGAAAAAAAACTAATCCACTTGAGGAAAAACTAAGCAGTCTTGAAAAATAACAAATTTGGAGGATTCACATCTCCTAATTTCAAAATTTCTTCAAAGCTATAGTAGTCAAGACAAATGGTGCTGACATAACAGTAGACGAATAGATCAATAAATAAAAAACCCAGAAACAAACCTTCATGTATGTAGACAAAATCAATTTTGACAAGAATGCCAAAACCATTCAATGAGGGAAAAGCTAATATTTTTAATAACTTGTGTTGAAACAACTGGATAGCCTCATGCCAAAGAATGAAATTAACTCTTTATATCACCCACAAAAGTCAATTCAAAAGGAATCAAAGATATAAATGTAAACTATGAAACTCTCAGGAGACAACTTAGACATAAATCTTCATGACTTTGGATTAGGCAGTGGCTTCTTAGATACAATACCTAAAACACGAGCAACCAAAGATAAAAAGATTAATAGGAATTCATCAAAATCAAAAATTTTTGTGCACAGATGATACCATCAAGAAAATAAAAAGGGGGGTAGGAAAGATAGTAGAATGAATCAGACATTATTAGCCTATGTATGTATGTAACTATATAACCAGTGTGATTATACATCATGTACAACCAGAAGAATGAGAAATTATACTCTATTATATATGATGTATCAAAGTGCATTCTAATGTCATGCATAACTAATTAAAACAAACTTAAAAAATTTGTTTTAAAAGCAAACACATATTTCCTAAAGGACTTTATAAATGTATAGGGGATTTTTACAGTTCAATAATAACAAAATAAATAACAGTTTAAAAATTGGCAAAGGACTCAAATAGTCATTTCTTCAAAAAAAATTTATAAAAGTAGCCAGTCAGTACGTAGAAAGATATTGAACATCATTAGCCATCAAGACCACAATGACAAAACACTTCACATCCACTAGGATGTATATAATAAAAAAGACAGATAACAAGTGTAGATGAGGATATGGAGAAATTAAAACCTTCCAGTATTGCTTATGAGAAGGTAACACAGTAAAAGTGCTATGGAAAGAAGTCTCACAGGTCCTCAAAGTGTTAGCGTAGAGTTACCAGACGACTCAGCAATCTCACTCCTATGTATATCGAGTGGAAATGGAAATACAGATCTATACAAAAACATGTACACAAATGTTCACAGCATTATTACTTATAATAGCCAAAAAGTAGAAGCATTCAGTGAATGAATGGGTACACAAAAGAAGTATACATACAAAATGCATATTATTTGTATTTTAAAAGAAGGATGTTCTGAAACTTGCTACATCATGGATATACCATGAAGTTATTACACTAAGTGAAATAAAGCAGGCCCCAAATACCACATATGACATAATACTATTGATAAGAAGTGTCCAATAGGAAAATGGGCAGAGGCAAGAGGGAGAGAGAAAAGGGAGAAAGAGAAGTAACCACCAATGAGCACGGGGTTTCCATTTGAGATGGTGTAAATATTCTAAAATTCTTTGATGGTTGCACAATTCTGTGAACACACTAAAACTATTGAATCGTGCACTTTAAAAGGTGAATTTTGTGATGTGAGCTATATTTCAGCAAAAAATGTTTTTAAAAACACTTCCCAGTGTTAGCCAAAGCTTCTGTTGAGACTGAATCTCTGTCTCACCCACTGGCAGTTCCTCCTCTTCTCTTCCAATATTGTGTGCTGATTATTTCAGAACCTTCTTTGCAGGCACCTGGCTGCAGTAATGCTGGGCCTCAGCTTACAGGCCCATCTGCCACAGAAATGCAGAAGGGGTTGAGTACACACATCTGTAACACATCTGCTTATTTTTGCCTTTTTTGCATCAACAGGCATAAATATGTGTTTCAGCTTTTTAATTGTTTAATACATAGAGATTTAGAGTTTAGTCTTGTTTTGAAAAATAAATTTTAAATATGAAATTTCTTTATCTTTCACAAATAAAAATGACAAGCCAAGCCTGTTGGCACATGTAGTCCTAGCTGCTTGGAAGGGTGAGGCAAGAGAATCCTTTGAGCCTAGGAGTTTGAGGCCAGCATAAGCAATACAGTGAAACATTGTCTCTTTAAAAAAATAAATAAAGACTGAAACTATGTGTAATGGTTTCTGTATTTGGTGTTCTGAGTTATAGAATAACACTTTATTGTATTTTGTGATGTCAAGATTTGGACGAAATAAATATTAATGTTCTCTAACAAATCAACCTGCATTTATTAGGACCTTTGTACTGGCTGTTAACTCAAGCTAGAAAGCTCTAGGTTGTGGGAAATGAGGGTCAGGACACCTAGATCTGGAAGCAACATTTTATCGGTGCCACAGCCCAGAGGGATAATTCCCAAAGTCTGAGTTCAGGCACAGCAGGACTTTCACTTTTGTACATAAACAGTGTACATCAAGGCAAGGGAGTTTGTGAAATTCTATTGGAGAGTGCATTCTACATTCCTCGTATGGGTACAAGCTTGTCAACAACCTAGGGACTCAGCTCATACAGCCTAGGGACTTTTATTGCACTGAACCCAAAGAGGGATTGTTTTCTCCCCACTACATTATTTCCTGCTTCTACTACTGCAGGTAGCTGTTACCTGCTGCAAGCCTCTATGGTTAAATGTCAGTAAGCAGAGCCAGTGTGTCAGTGTGCAAAACCACAGCTTGTCAGCTTTTAAACTGCTAATGTTCATGTTCTGTTCTTTGACTTTTCTTCACAGTATTTCCCAATTGCCCAGAACAATGTCTGATATAAGTAAGCTCATTAAATCTTTGCTGAATTAATAAATGAATGGAAATTAGAGTAGAATGATCAAGCCAGTTGGATAGGGATTTTAAGACTACCCCCACATCTACTGATACACTAGGACTCATAGGACTCAGCATACAGTTATACTTACAGCTGAGATTTATGACAGCAGCATAGTTAGGTTGCACAGCTGGATCATGAGGAGAATGACTCTGGTAAAATATATATGCAGACTTCTTATGTTCTCTCTTTTCTATGAAGAGATGTTTAGCCTGAGACCAGCGCTGACTTCATGAATGAAGGTTCGAAACGTGAGAAACTTCTAGGGAGTTTTGAATTAAAGAGACAAGACTCTAATTACCTTTAAACCAGCTCCAAGATGGCTTCTCCTACCTCCAGCTTCAAGCTACCTATTATGGTAGTGAGGTTTACTGAAGAGGCAAGAGGGGGGGGGGGAGAGGAAGGAGGGAGGGAACATGCCAGGGAGTGGACTTTTTTATTGGGGAACAAAAAATTCTGGGGATAATCCCATCCAATGAAGATTAAGGGGGGCAGCGTTCTAAGGTCAGGGGTGACGATTGGGTCTTCAGAATAGTGGTCAGACATGCCTCCACACGGACAAGCCCTCAGACCTGAGAAGGGTGGAGAAAGCTCTGGACACAAGATGTGCCTAAGCACCTCTCGCCCAGCCAGGGAGGTAACTCAAATCACGTTCGAGGATGGCCTCCCACAGAGATGAGCACACTCTTTTCCAGGAATGTGTGTGAGATGTTTCTGCCCAGGGAAGCCCTTCAGAGTCTCAGCACCCAGGGTCCTTACTGGCTGCCAGACATGTGGGCACTCTTTGCATGGCATATACCAAGACTCCAGGCCTGCAGAAAGAAGGCCGGAGTTCAGCATAACCCCCATGGATGTATGAAAAGTCTAGGCCCAGTGAGCCAGTTATCACCAGTTATTATTAATTATAATTTAGACAAAGTTCTGTCTTATTGTAGAGAGCTATTTACTAGTCAAACCTAAGTCTGCTCTGTCTACTCTTTTCTAGACACTGGTTCATATTAAAATGTGATCATTAGGTCTATCATGAAGTAAAAGAAAACTCTTAAATTTATAGATATATCTCTTAATATAGTTTTTTTTAAATAACTGAGTATGTGCTTACATTCCTAGGCAAAATTTGGACTTTCTCTAAACTTCTGATTCTTTGATTTCTTAAATATCATATAAGCTGACCATAGACATTTGTATTGTTTTTTTCTTTTATCTATTTATAGATCTTGGAATTTCTGGTACTACATCAAAAAAGTAAGTGCTTTGAAATTACCTGGTTTCCTTTTGACAATGTATTTCTGTTTATTTGAGACTATCAAACATTGCATTCATACAACACATTCTCAGCCTACATAATTTCAAAGTTGGTTTATATTTCATTTGGGGTTTTTGTTGTTATTCTGCTGACACCTCCAAACTATTGCTCAGCAATGAAAAGGAGTAATATATTTCTGTCTCCAAGATTGTCAATGTTATGTCTAGAAATCCCTGGGGATGTGCTTTGAATATTTTAATAGCTTTAAATTCTATATTCATAACGATCTTCCTAGCTAACATTGATTTCAAATAGTCTTTCATGGAGTATCAGTTTCAAGGAAGAATAGCAAACAATGTACCCTTTTCTTAGATGTATGTTTTGTCATTTAGTTGGGACACATTTTACAGAAAGTGGCACCTTACAATCACTGTAAGTCAGCTTGTAGACATATTTTGTGTGAAACCTTTATTAAACCCTCTAAGAATCCAAAAGATGGCATCACTAATGCATGTTAAATTAAATGCCATCTAAGAGTTCAGAGGTATTGTAATTTTATTTGGAATTTACTATAATGAGTGAGGAATTCAGATGGATTTTCTGGCATACTTTCCTACTTATATGTTATAAGAAATTTCTATTATCATTGAGGTCCAAACTATATATGATTTTTTTTCAAATGTTTATAAGATTTCTTAGTTACAATATGATAAGACTCCTCTGTAAGTTTTAACCTATTCTCCTTTTTACCACTTGACTCAGAGTACTTTTAAACCCAAATAAAAGAATCTTAGGAGCCATGCACCATTTTTTCTAATTCTAGTTTTTCATTATTTATTTTGCCTGCTTGATTTTAGGGGAGATCTTCAGTGGAATGCTGGAGAGAAAAAGTTGACTGGTGGAGCCAACTGGCAGCCGAAAGTAACTCCAGCCACGTGGTCAGCAGGTGTTCCATCAAGTGCATCTTTGGTACGCAACCCTCAGAGGCCAGGGCAGTGTGGGCAAGTGTATAGAGCAGGGTGTGTTTTGCTAAACTTGACCACTGACCTTGTACTTCATCTTCCACATTGAAAAAGTATAAGCAAGATGCAGACTTTACTGAAATTCAAATTCCATTGAATTAAATATTTTAATAATTATGACTTATTTTTATTTTAAATATTTTCAAATAGTAACTATGTTTTCTCTCTATGTGTAAAATTATGGAAATGGTTTTTAAAAAGCATTTAATATCACTTGACAATTATATATTTTATCACACTGCTTATCAGTGTCCTGATTGTCAATAAATAATGAAAGCTTTTTTTTTATTACCAGGAAGATTGGGCAGTTTTCTACTGTGTAAGTGGCATTTTGTTTTGAAACTCTATTTAATTTTTGCTCACCACTTTTAAAATTCAAACTGCTAACATCATCTTTTCCATAGAGTTTTAGTAGATTTAATTTTGATATTTTAATTTTCTATATATGCCTCTATTTAAGCAAATCTAAGCAAGTCACTGTTTCCCAAGGCCACTTGCAGTTTTCCACCTTTGCTTACCACCCTCACCTGTCTACATCATACCCATCTCTAAAGCTCCCTTGGCACCATTCTTTCCTTGTTACTGAATTAATTCTTAATCATCACTCACTACTCCCAGCTAAACAAACATGCATGGAAGTAAATTAATATAACTTAGAATGTAAATGTTATGCTAAGTGAGAGAAACCATACACAAAAGGCTACATAGCATAGGATTCTGTTTGGATGCAGCATCTGGAATAAAGAAGTCAAAAAAAGAAAAGAAAGGAAAAGAAGCAGGGAGCAAATTACTAGATTCTTCTGGGGGAAGGGGAAATTGGAAGTCTTTTGGGGTCTTAGAAATGTTCTGGGATTAGATAATGTTGATGATTTCACAATATTATAAATATACTAATACTGAATTGTACAACTGTTAAAATGGTAAATTTAAGTAGTATGTGAATTTTAGCTCAGTAAAACATTTTTAAAAGAAAGAAAATACTAATGATTGTATTTCTGATTCACTCTTTACCCATCAATCAAAGGCTAGGTGATAGACTATTTACCAAACCCTAATTATATCATTAGGACTTAAGGCTATGAAGGGGAAAAAGGTTTTATTTATTATCAAAACAAAATAAACTTGCAGAAATTCTTGATTAATATACTTTTAAATTGCTTTAAGCTCAAAATAACCTTATGCCAAGTGTCATATTTTGGAGTGACATATTCTCCTACCCTACAACATCCTTTGCCTAGTTTATAATTAGATTATTAGTGGAGCTTTAAGAGATTGTCATACATTCTTAATAATAAATGCTCATCAGATATATGATTTGCAAATATTTTATCTCATTTTGTAAACTATCTTTTCATTTTCTTGATAGTGTTCTTTGATATTCAACATTTTTAACTCTGATAAACTCATTATACCTAATTTTTTCTTTTAATTCATGTGCTTTTGGTATCATATTTAAGAAACCATTGTTTAATTCAAGGTCTTAAAGCTTTTCAATTGTTTCCAAGAGTTTTATAGTGTTATCTCTTAAATTAAGTCTTGGGCCTGTGTGTGTGTGTGTGTGTGTGTGTGTGTGTGTGTGTGTGTGTGTAGGTCCAGTGTAATTATTTGCATGTGGAAATCCTGCTGTAGAAGAAACATTTGTTGAAAAGACTATTGTTTCTCTTTTAATTGTTTTCAATACTCTTGACAAAAATCAATTGGTCATAGAGACATATAGGTTTATTTCCAGATTCTTTCTTATGTTGTGTTAGATCTATATGTCTATCATTATGCTAATAGCATGCTATTTTGATTAATGTAGCTTTGTGGTAAGTTTTAAAACCAGGAAGTTTGAGTTTTCCAAATTTCTTCTTTTTTAAGACTGTTTTGGCTATTCTTGTCCCCTTGCATTTTCATATAAACTTTAAATTCAGTTTGTCAATTTCTAAAAACAAAAGGGGGAGGCAGTCAAAATTTAGATAGGAATTGCCTACTGCATTCTTTCCATTATTATGTCTTCAAATCCATGAACACAGACCAACTTTTCATTTTCTTAGTTGTTCTTTAATTTCTTTCAATGATGTTTTATGATTGCCAGTATACAAGTATTATACTCTCTTGTTAAATTTATTCCTAAATATTTTATTATTTTTGATATTATTATAAATGGAATTATTATCACAATTATATTTTTGATTGATCATTGTTAGCATAAAATGAACTACCACAATGATTTTTATATATTGATCTTATATCCTCAGCTTTAAAGAAATTATTTATTAGTTTTGGTACTTTCTTGTTTGAATTCTGTGGGGTTTTCTATATTTAAGATCATGTCATCTGTGAATAAAGATAGTTTTATTCTTTCCTTTTCAGTCTGCTATTTCATCCTTTTTCCTGCTAATTTCCCTGGCTGAAATTTCTGGTGCATCTTGTTCTTGGAAGAAATCTTTCAATCATTTAACTTTGGGGTTTTTTTTAGATACCCTTTGTCAGATTGAGGACTTTCTCTTCTCTCCCTAGTTTGTTGAGTAGGTTTTTGTTTGTTTGTTTGTTTTTTGGTTTTGGTTTTGGTTTGGTTTTGTCATGAAAGGGTGTTAGTTTTATCAAATGTTTTTTTTTTTTTTCCTGTATCTATTGAGATGTTTGTTCATTGTGATTTTCTCTAATTTGGTCTTGAGGTCTCTGTTAGGAAATGAATATAGTCCTGCCCTAATGGGGCTTCAGGGCAGTGATTATGAATGTTCACAGTGTCTTTAAAGGACACTTCTTTATCCTTGTGAGCCACCAAGTGCCTAAATGTCTAATTCATGACCAGGTATCCCTCTCACGGGAGACTTGTATAGTGGCAAATAAACTTAGCTAAACTGGGGAGCAGAAGATGGGATTGTAGTAAGGTAAAATGCCACAAAACATATTGTTCTTACCAAGATTCCTCTAATTTTCAATAAGTACTTCATGGATTGCTGCAAATTTTTAGATAGTTTCTAGAATCCAGTAAAGATAATTCTGACAGTTGTTGCCTGTTTTTTCATTACTTTTATGGATGAGGGGATTTTGGAGTCCCTTAGTTCATCATTTTTGCTGACATCACTATAGTATCTTCTTTTAATTAGGATTTGTTCTAATGATCAATTTAAATTATTACAGTAGGATTAATTTTTAAACAAGAGGGAAATATTAGGAAGTTGTGATGCATGACTGAAAACTGAGCTCTGAACTTGATAACAGCACATGCATTCTGTATTATGTGCAGTCTTCTAAAGGCTTTCTATTCTGAGAATTAATTTTGGTCCTTATGCAACAGCCAAAACTTAAAAAGAAGCAAATAAAACATAGAAAAGAGTAATGTGAAACATAGAAAGAAATGATATAAAAGTGGGAGAGGTGATATTGGCCAAATTATATTGTTATATATTTTGTGCATGCATGAATATGTAACAAATTACATCATTATATACAACTATAATGCACCGATAAAAATATGGAAGAAATTTAAGGGGGAGTGGAAGCCAACCATTAAAATGTAAATGAAAATAGGATCCTCATGTCTAACCTGTCAAAGGAAATGATAGGAAAAGAGAAGCTTAGAGAAGCTTAATTCATTCCCAGTGAGGGTGAGTATAAGGAATTTGAGAGGAAGCCAATGTTCTTGCAAGCCAGCAAGTCCAAACAGTACTATCAACAGTAAATAGTACTACCATCAAGTTAGTAACTTTGTTTATATCATTGGTGTAGTACTAGAGTCATCTGCTTTTTAAACCTAAAACCAAAATTTGAGATTTCTTTATATCTCCACACATAAACTTGAAATACATGCATTTTTAAATTATATTGTCATTTTAAAAACAAATTATTTTGTTTCTTGTGTGTTTGTTTGGGGTGTATGTGTGTGTGCATGCGCTCATGTGGTTTTGTGGGTATGTGTGTACAGCAAGGAGCAGTACCTCCAACCAGTTCAGTTCCTCCTGTGGCCGGGGCCCCATCTGTTGGACAACCTGGAGCAGGATTTGGAATGGTGAGTGATGACCTATTCTAAAAATTGTAATTGACATTTCTATGTTCTTTGCCAAATCCCAAATTATCAAATACTCCTACAGAATATAATTCTCCCCAAAATGCAGCAAACTTAAAAAGTTACCTGCTTCAGGCCTTAAGTGGCCTACCATGTAGTTATAAAAATCAGTTATAAAATACTTAAATTCTGCCACCAAATTACAGTACATTGTTATGTCCCTTTTGGAATAATATATGCTAATCATAATCTTAATGCAATGAATCAAAATCAGCCCTGAATCACTATACTAGGACTTTTCACTAATCAGCAACTTTTAGGGCCATAGAGAAACAAGTTTTTATCTCTTCAAGAGTTATGCTTGAAGAAGGTGAATGAGCAGCAAGGCCTGGTTGGGATGAGGATGCTGTGTAGCCATCCGGCCTGTATCCCTGCTCAGGGACTCTCCCATCTGACAGCCTCAACACCCAGAGGTCAAAATAACAAATTCCAGTTTTTCACCCACCTGGAATCTTCAAAAATTGTGAGAAGCATATAAAAATCATCCTTGTTGGGGTGTCACCCTGGTGACTCCATTGGGCTCTAAACAAGTCTTCCTTTTCAGCCTCCTGCTGGGACAGGCATGCCCATGATGCCTCAGCAGCCAGTCATGTTTGCACAGCCCATGATGAGGCCACCCTTTGGAGCCACAGCTGTACCTGGCACACAGGTCTGTCTCTTCATGTATACAGATCAGTGACATTAACCCCTAAGTATAAGACTGTCATGTGGTTAACTGTTTCAACGGTGTTTTTACCTAATGTGCTTCTCATACCTGTTGCTTCAGAAGTGAAGGAATCAGAGAAGACAGATTAGCAAGAGTGTGAGGTCTTGGGGGAAAGCTAACTGTCCTAAGGTCTGTTCTTCTTTTACTTAACTCAAAATGGTACAGGAAAACAACCAGGCATGTGAATCATCCAAGGCATGCATCCCGAGAAGTGAGTACTTCTGATCCATGGTTTTATTATGTGTTTCCAGAGTTAGCCAGAAAAGTTCAAGGCATAGTCCTCCAGGCTGCCAACTCTGCCTAATACTTGTGACATCAACAGCAGTGAGTTTGCCAAACTGCAAAGTCTCAGGGAACCGTGCCATAAGAATCTCCTCTCTTCAAACATCAGCCACGAGTTTGGGAATCCCCAGGGCCACCATCACTTCAGACTAGCTAGCTATAAATTTGAGGTTTTCCATGACAATCCTCAGATTTGATAATTCTCTAGAATGACTCCCAGAACTCAAGAATGTGCCAAATTTAGGATCACAGTTTTCTTTGTAGTGAACAGATACAAATTAGATGCAGCTAAAGAAAGAGATCATGAGTGACATCTATGAGAACTTCAAGCATGAAACTTCTCTGGCCTCAGGGATATGTTTCTCTCCCAGCATCAATGTATGACAATACACACACAGTGTTGCAGCTCAGGAAGCTCACTCAAGCATTAAGGTCCAGAGTTATTGAGGCCTCATTACATAAAAATGATAGGTTGAAAAAAAAAGAAAAAAAGAGCGAGATTGAGAAAGAGAAATATTAGATATGAGTTAGGTTCAATTTCCAACCCTCCTCCTTCTGAAGATCAGGTTGGCATTATGTGGTAGGTCTTTCTGGCATGGCCCACCTCCATGCTGAGTTATTTTGTCAGCATAATCTAGGAAGAGCCCCTGGGAGTCACCTGGTTAGCATAATTTTATCAGGCAGGTTGCAGGAGCCCATCATGAAAAGCAAATTTTCTGTCACTCAGAAAATCACAAAGATTAGAGGTCACCTAGTAGGATCCAGGACAAAGGGAAAACGTGTCTTGAGGCAAAATTCCTTACTATGCCACCATGTGCTCCCTCCGTTTACCAAGATGTCAAAATATGCCCAATAAATGCACTTTGTTGAACTGCTGCTAATACTCATCGTATTGATGAATTATTCTTTCTTGACTCCTCTGTTTAATTATCTGGCAAGGTAGAAACATATATGTGGAACCAAGGAGATCTTCACCATTGAGAAAGTGACTTGGACAGAGTCAGCACCAAATTATAACTCTAGTAGCAGCACGCCAAACAAACTGAACAAAATAGCTCAAGTAGAGTTTACTGATATCAATGTATGGTTTCTTTCACTCCTATAATATTTTTAATTTATTAAGTGGATATTTATCTGTAGGATACTTACTCTAGAATTTCTGAGTATACTCTAACCCCATTTGCTTTCTTGATCCGCATCTAAATCCATCTTCTACTTGTTTCCCAAATTTGCTTTCAACTTCTTCACTTTAATACCTCAAAAGCCACAGTGATCAGGAGAAAAAAAATGGTGGTTGTTGAAAAAGACAACTTGGAATATGAGAAGCCCTAGCCTTCATGGCCATAACAACATACTGACTTCAGGACAGGTTTTCTAGTCTGCTTGGAGACCAAGAAACCCTGCCTAGTGTTGTTTTTATGGAGGGTATGAGGAAGGTTTGGGACCTACTCATGGGTTAAGTTTAACCTTGTATGCTTAAATTCTAAGATGAATCTCACTGTGGTTTCCTTGATGGTTGAATAGACCTGTGAATATTTATCATATTTGAGGAAGACAGAATGTTTCTGTTTTAATGAACAATGTTTTTGAAGTTGTTTTTTAGTCTTGTATTTGGTGTGTTGAAAGCTTTAGAAAAAAATTAATATAGAGAGATATATGTGGAACCAAAGAGATTTTATTAATATAATCTTATTACTAAAAGTAATTGTTTTTCTTGCATAATACCATATTTAGCATCAATTATTTACCTAATTTGGAAAATAGATGATATGAGAATATATTGTTTTAATCAGTAATTGAATTTAGAATAAATCAGGGAATGGTATGTCAGATAATTTTTACATTTTCTATTTCCAAGAAGCATAATAACCCCAGAGTATAAAATAAAATGAGTTTGTAGCTTCAGAATTCATAGTAGTTTTAATATTAATGATGCCTGGACTATCCCAATATTCATTAATTGGTTGATATTGAAACATTGTCATCTCACCTGATTATTAATTGTGGACCAATTCTACAGTTTCTTCCAAGCAATTTCAAGGTTGGTGTTTATTTTTTATGAGAATTCAATTAAGCATTATCTCAGTTCTACAAATGGAAATTTGACAGATAGATAATGCAGTAGTTTCTGGACATAGGAACACATCTGAAAATCCTTAATTCTGGAGCTCTGCTTCCTGAACCAATAAAAACATATACCCTGCCCCAAAGTCCCAGAGTTCTGAAATTCCTATCATCTTACAAGCATGGGAAATTAATTAGATTCAAAGGATAGATGTCAGGTATTACTCTAGACAGAGTGAGTGAGATTTTTTTTAAGGTCTTTACCCTGACATTCCTGCAGAAGCCTGCTTCCAGAAATTATTTCTGTCACAGATGAAAATCATTTAGTTATTGGTTCAATAGAAGCAAAAATGAGTTAATTCTTTTTCCTTTTACTACAAGTCCCATATGTTTCTTTCCTGTAATTATTTAGCCTTCTCTGTGAGCTGGACAGGTGGGACTGGGATTAGAACTCAGTGGTGTTCACAAATAGAACCGTAAAATAATTTATGTGAAATCTTAGCATATTTAGTTAATAATATTAAGTAATTTCATAAGTGGCTGTCTGCAAACTTTCCTTTCAATTTTCCTTTCAAACTGATTGTCACTGTGAAAAAAGCCATTTAAATTTCTTTATTAGTTTAGTAGTACTAATAACTCAAAGTAAAAGTGTTTTTATAGAAAAAATGATCACTTTTTGTTTGTTTGTTTGTTTTACTATATATTTGTAATATCCTTATGTGACTAATTTTTTACATCTCCCTAATTTATGTCCATATTGTTCTACCAGAGTCCCCAAATTTTACTTTGGCTAAATTTGATGTCAGGAAATTTCAAGAAAGCCAAATATCATTTGAATTGTATTTTACCACTCCAAAATTAAACACAACACTGTGACTAAGTAGAACAAAGTAGTTTTTTTTTTTTAACTTTTAGCCATCTATTCTTCTGCATGTTTTTTTTTTCTGCAATATATGTTCTGCCTAATGCTTACCTATCTCTCTGTTTGCTTTCTATCTCTGCTCTTTGGGGCTGGGTTTCTCCCTATTAGCTTTCTCCAAGCCCTACACCTGCCACTCAGAGTCCCAAGAAACCTCCAGCAAAGGACCCATTAGCGGATCTTAACATCAAGGATTTCTTGTAAACAATTTAAGGTATCTTCTATTGAGATTTTCCTGTGGACTTTTAATAATGAGCTATACAGTGCTTGGCTATTTCAGATATGATATTTGTTCTTTATGTGTTTTGAGTGGATGTGTATAATGATAACTCAAATGTTTCAAGTTTTAAAATTGATATTAAAAGCTATCATTATTAATGATTTTTTTAAAAAAAAATTTACTTATAAAACTAGGAGGAAGAGACCACACCTGTAATTAGTGGCATATACCTGTAATCTCAGGAAGCTGAGGCAGGAGGATAGAAAGCTTGAGGCCAGCCTGGGCAACTTAGCAAGACCCTGTCTCAAAAATAAAAGATAATATTTTTTTAATGGATGGGAGATGTAGCTCAATGTTACAGCACTCCTGAGTTCAGTCCCTAGTACCACAAAAGAAAGAAAAACTAGGAGGGAGAGAAACCTCCAAGTTGTCCTTATCCTGAAAATCACAAAGATTATACTGATAAAATACAAAAGTTGCCCAAACTTCTTGATAAATTAGAAGATTAATGCTTTATTCCATGACTGAAATTAATAGAAAGCTAATATTTGTAATATTAATTTCTAACAATCTAGTTTTAAGTCTCATCAATTTCATTAAAAGTGACTCATTGTGAATTTATGGAAGGAAGCTTATGAAGGAATAATGTTTACTGTTAACCCTGCACCTAATGGTGGGTAGGTTCTTAGCAAATATTTTGCTCAATTAAACTGCTTTTCTTTTACATAGTATTTTTCATATCTACTTCCCAGTCATTAATGTCTTTGAACTTCTCAGTAGGAGATGAAACTCTGTGCAGTAAACTACCCAGAATTAATTTTTTTATATAGCTAGAAGAACTGATTCTTGATAATTGAGTGATTTACTCAGGGTCTGGCAAAAAGAACAGTAAGAAGGTGGAAGCTTTTGGACCACTATCCAGTGGTACTTTCATTATACATCTACTGCCTATGTATATTAAAAACTCCCTCTAATGCCTACTGAGATTTCTGTGGAATTCTGCTTTGTAATCATTTTTCTTATATACCAATAGGATTAATAACATGTCACTTTAATATCTCAGTCAAGTCATTTCTCCTCAGGCACACTTTTCCACTTTGGATTGGGTTGATTAGACATAAGTAGATGTTGGTATAAGTAAGACAAGGAGCACTTATTTCATAGCAATTAGTTTCAGGAGTAATCAAGAAAACGGCCTTGAGTAGCCTTTTATCACCACTTGTTAAGTAAATATTGCTGTCATCACATGCCTGGAACTTCAGTGAGTATCAGAAGAAAAAATGCCTGAGAGAGTCCCTGCCCTCAGGGATTCACAGCCCAGAGAGAGGCAGACACAGAGGATTCTATGAGTTCTGGCTAAGCCTTAAGACCCCAGGAAAGGTTTCTTGGCAGAAATGACTGATGAACAAAGTGGAAAGTGGTGTGAGAGAAGAAACTGGGTCACCAGGGATAGCTCCCTTCTCTCCTGTTCTGTCACTTGTTCAACTGTTCAGTGAGTGACTCATTGAACACCATAATGAAATAGAAGCAAAAAATAATGGAAGTCACTGCCATTCCAATGTTTTATTTTCACTCTTCTATTTTAAAGGTTAGCTATTCTTAATTTATCCTGTCTTATAATTAAGATTGCTAATAAGTATCTAAAGCTCAAGTTTCTGTTGATGTGATCTTTGTTTAAAATGAAACTGTGCATGGAAAAATTGATTGTTTTTAAGTTTCCTGACTGAAATTTTAAGCTTATTTTAAGGAACTTTGAAAAATACATAAATGTGAATGTGTTAATATAGAAATCTTTGGTATAAAGCTCTTTTGTAGTAACTATGAAGTAAAATTGCAGAGGACATAAAATGTTTAAGGGAGGCATGATAGTCTGTTTTCTAACTGAAGTACTTTTTTCTTCACAGCTGCAATTTTTGTGACTGAATAGGAAAAATAATGAGTTTGGAGACTTCAAATAAGATTGATGCTCAGAGTTTCAAAGTGAGCCACCAGTACCAAACCCAATGCTTACTCATAACTTCTCTTCCAAAATGTGTAGCACAGCTGTGAAAGTGAACGTTAGGAATGTGTACTACTTTAGCTGTTATCCCTACTCTCAAAATTGTAGTGTATTTGGGTTATTTGTGTGTTGTATGATGTAAACAATGAATGGATGTTTCCGATGCCTATAGTGCTTTTCTGGACCTTGCCCATGGACGGATGATGCAGCTGTTGTATGGTGAGCCATTTGGAAAGATGTGTCTGTGTTTTCGAAGGTTTCAATGTATATATAACTTTTGGACAAACCCTAAACTCTTCCCATAAATTCTCTTTTCTTCTGTATCTCTGTTACAAGCGTAATGTGATAATACCTGATAGTAAGGAAAACACTCTTAAATATACAAAACTTTTTTCCGTGTGGAGTACATTTTTCCAATCACAGAAACTTCAACTGTTGTGAGAAATGTTTATTTTTGTGGCACTGTATATGTTAAGAAATTTTATTTTAAAAAATATAAAGGTTAACGTCCATAATAAATACTTCTCCTTGAAGCTACCTTATCAAGAATGAAAAATCATATGGGAAGAATTCCATATTTATCACTGCTATATTAAAATATATATTTTAATTATATTTGCAGGTTTTGCATCTAAATTGACCTATTTATTCATTCTTGATTAAATGCACTGAAAAGTAAAGCGTCCGTTTCTATCACGTCTGTGAAAATGCAATTAGAAATGTGCTATTTACGTGATTATGAAAGCACCCCAAGGTATATCTGTAATTTAAAGATTACTGCAAATGTTTTTACTTCACTGTGGGTTTTATGTACATCTGTTCATTTAGTATTTCTTTGTGTGTTCTATAGGCTAGTGTTTTTCCATCCTTCAACTGAGCTCAAACTAGGTTTTGTTGTACCATTGTGATTAGGATTTAAACTTATTCAGAGAATTGTATCCTTTACTGTACATACTGTATTCTTTAATTTTTAATTTGTTGTCATACTGTCTGTGCTGATGGCTTGGCTTAAGATTTTGATGCACACATGAGGTCACTGTTGATCAGTGTTGCTAGTGGCTTGGCAGCTCTTTGTAAAAGCATATTGGGTTGGAAAGGCATTTGCCTATTTTTCAAATTATTTAATAGATGTATGGTACCATTTAAAAGTGGTTGTATCTGAATTTACTGTGGGGATAACATACACTGTAATGGGGAAAAATTACCTAAAACCAATTTCAAAATGGCTTTTCTTTGTATTTCGGTTTAAAAACCCAGTGCATGTACGCCCTCTGAGATGCAATAAACACCTTGAACAAAGAAAATGCAAACATAACCTTTCTCTCTCTCTGATTATTTTTAGGGAAAAGGTCTGTATCAAATGACATAAATAGCATACACAAAATATTGGGAGTTTTTAAATATTTGAGGTGAGACATACTGTCCATGCCAATACAGTTTTGATTATTTTTTAATAAATTTAAAAGAAGGTGAAAAGTCTTTTTTTCTTCTTTTCACTTTTGTGATGCTGGGGATTGAACCCAGAGCCTTATGCATATGAGGCAAGCGCTCTACCACTGAACCACAAACCCACCCCAGAAAAAGCTATTTTAATGAATGTTCATTACACTTGGGACTCCATGGCTGGTACCAAATAAATTAAAGTTCCATGTTCCAAATATCTGTTTATTTTTAGGGCGAACTTTCTTTTGAAACATGGAATTAAAGACTTGTAATCATTTTTCAAGAATTCTCCATGGAATTTGAAGAATAATGACTTTAGATTCTCATTGACACACACAATTGCATATACAATGTTAAGTCTCACACAAAATTGGAATTTGTGTGTGTGTGTGTGTGTGTGTGTGTTTTACTGGAGATAGAAGCCAGGAGAGCTTTACCATTGAGCTATATCCCAGCTGTATTATTATTATTATTATTTTTTTTTTATTTCAAGACTGGGTCCTGCTAAATTACTGAGGCCAGCCTCTCCCTTGCAATTTTCTACTTCAGCCTCCTGAGTAGCTGAGATCATAGGTGGACCTGACTAGATTAACCTATTTTTAAAAAATTGGGTGACTTTACTCCTACAATTAGAATGTTATAACATTTCGAAAAGTAGTCCAATCTTGGGGCTGGAGATGTCACTAGTAGTAGAGCATTTGCCAAGCACCCACAAGGCTCTTAATCCCCAGGAGCACAAAAAATAAAGTAGTTCAATCTCAAAGTATTTCTCAAATGAAGCACATTCTTACATATATTTTAAACTATCTTCCCTCAGTTACCTAGGATTTCTATCTTGAGAACTAACTTTCAGAAGCTAGTGTCTGATTATGTATTATGATTTCTAGAGATTACATTTAATCATAAATTACTTTGTGGTCATATTGTAAGAAAAATGTATCTTAGAATATAAAATAATTTTAAGATTAATATTGCTTTTTAAATAAGATTTTTCTTCATCAAGTGGCCCATGTGTGAAATTATTAATATTAAGTCAAAAGCTGTAAGAACATTATTTTTAAATCAGACACTGGCACTTCGCTATGCTGAGATTCTTGGTGTCCTTGTAGGGGAATTGTCTTATAAAGGAGATGCTGGATGAGGTTCTCTGAGTACTGAAAAAGCTAATCTCTGGGGATAGTTTGCAAGAAAGCTCCCTTTTACATGGTGCTCTTCTACATGGTGAGTGTATCTATACTATTTTTACCCTGCCTCACTAGCCAGACCTGTCCCCCAACACCACCCTCCCCACGCTTATGCACAAGCACAAACACACACACACTGTTCTCTGTGTGACCACAACAACTACTTGCACAGGAACCCCAAGCACTTGCTGGCCTACACCTGCATTTTCCTTACTAGCCCTACCAGTGAGCCTATTCCTGCCCCTCAGAGCACAACCTTCATTGGCCTTTACAGCACTTACCATATTGCATTATAATCAGCAGTACAGGAGTCAGCCGCTCAAGCCATTCTGAGCCATGGAGGCAGATGTCTCCTTCTGCCTCTGTCCTCAGCAGCCAGCACTTGAGCAGGTGCCAGGTAAGTGTCTGCGGAATGAACCCAAGTGCTTAGAGTTTTCCACTTACCTGAGCACTGGGTTAATATCATCTTTCTCATTACTAAAAAATAACTCAGAGCGCATTGATTGCCAAATGTTATTAGTTGTTCTTTAAATCTATTTTTAATTGACAAGGTATAGTCATGTATTATTGGGGTACATTGTGATGTTAAGATGTATGTATGTAATATGCAATGCTTGCAACAAGATAATGAGTATGTCTGTCACTTCATATACTTATTTTATGTGGGAAGAACATCTGGAATTTCTTCTCCTATGATGGGTATGCCAGTTAGCTCAATTTAGCTATTCTGCAATATATGCATATTTTAAAACATCATATTGTACACATTAAACACATAAAATTTTATTTGCCAAGTAAAATGAATTATTAAAAATATTATGATACATTATTAACTAAGTTACCCTGCTGTGCAATAGATTTCAAAAACTTATTTCTTCTGTATAAATGAAACTTTGCAACCAATACCTCCTCAACCCCACTTCCTAACTTCCTATGGTCACCATTCTACCTCTGTGAGGCTGACTTTTTAGATTCCAAATATAAGTGAGATGATATAAAGTTTTCTGTGCCTGCCATATTTTACTTAGCATATTGTGCTACAGGCTAAACCATATTGTTACAAATTATGCCATTTCCTTCTTTTTTAAGGAGTAATATTCTATTATACAGATATACCACATTGTTCTTATCCATTCATCCATTACACTGTGTGCAACAGTTGTGATATGGCACCATCAATGACATATCTTTGCTATCATGAATAATATTGCAATGAGCGTGAGAGTGCTGACAGCTCTTAAATGTACTGATTCAAATCCTATGGATATATTCACAGTAATGAGATTGCTGGATTGAGCGGTAGTTCTGTTTTATTAGAGTTTTAATAGTTCATTGTAAGTTTATTGTAATAGAAGAGCTCACACCCATTAAACACCCATCTTGAACTAAGAATTAGAATCCTTTTATATATGTATAATGATGGAAGGGTGGGTGTCTCCATGTTAAATTGTCTCCTTTGTTCTCTATCTAAAAAAGAATGAAGACTTTTTGGGGAGGAATCATGAGGCTTAGAAGAGAAGAAAGGAGTTGGATATAAAGAAAAATGAGAACTCGAATCACAAAAAGATAAATTATGCAAAGACCTCTTTCTTTTCTTAACATTTTTGTTAAAAGTGTCCCTTAGTGGGAATGTCTTGCTGCAGTGATCACATTTTATATGTAGAAGCTCTTGATGAAAATCAAAGTGACCACCTCTCTTAGTTAAGTCATATTGGTTTATGCATTTTGTGGGTTTTTTTTTTTTAAAGAGCGAGAGAGAGAGAATTTTTTTAATATTTATTTTTTAGTATTCGGCGGACACAACATCTTTGTTTGTATGTGGTGCTGAGGATTGAACCCAGGCCACAGCATGCCAGGCGAGCGCGCTACCGCTTGAGCCACATCTCCAGCCCCTTGTGGTAGTTTTTAATCCTCTGGGAATTTAAGGAAATCTGTTTCTCGTGGCCTAGCTGACAGCAGATTTCATTTCTGAATACATCATTGAAATCTGCTCATCAATGGAGAGCTAAGAGAGAATGACGTTTTGTGATTCAGTGACACAGTTAGCCCTGGTCTGGCTAAACTCTCAAGAGGCACAGCACTTAATCATCTGTTTCCTTTCCACTTGTGGCTTGCATGCTTAAGTTTGCAATATAAAAGTATTCTATAATTGATTTCCAAGCATAGATTCTCAAATTTTTGGTCTTAGGACACTTTTATACTCTAAAAATGTATTGAAGATCCCTAAAAACTTTTGTTTTATGTGAGCTATGTCTGTCAATATTTACTGTTAGAGATTAAAACTTACATACTTTAAATTAAAGTCAAAATTCTGTTTAATTCATTTAAAGATATAAATATCAAAACCATTATATTTTAACAAAATATTTAATGAAAAATTATAATTTCCAAAAAAAATTAATTTAGGAAAATGGTATTGTTTTGCTATTTTTGCATATCTCTTTAATAAAGACAGCACAAGGCAGCTGCATCCTCATATCTACTTCCACATTCAATCTATTACAATAGTCATGTCAGACAGTTGTTGGAAAATTCCACTGTTTGCAACACTTGTAAGAAAAATTCATCTTAGTATTTTTATGAAAACAGTTCTGACCTTACAGTATTATTATTATAAAAATGATTTTGACCTCACAGGCCCCTGAAAGTATCTCTGGGATCCTTGGGAGTCTACTGTTGATGCTTGTAGAACCACTGCTTTAGATCTTAAAAAATTAAGCTTACCAGTTAATATATTAGCTTGTGTGTATGTGTGTGTTCATAGTAGCCTCACCACCACAACTATTATTTGTTGAGTGACTTCAAATGCCCACCTCCACCTTCCCCACATTACTTTTTTTTTTTTCTTTTTGTACAGGGGATTGAACTCAGAGGCACTCAACCACTGAGCCACATTCCAGCCCTATTTTATATTTTATTTAGAGACAGGATCTTACTGAGTTGCTTAGCACTTTTGTCATTGCTGAGGCTAGCTTTGTACTTGCTATCCTCCTGTCTCAGCCATCCAAGCCGCTGGGATTGCAGGCATGCGCCACTGCACCTGGCCTGCACATTATTTTTTAAGTGATTCTGAGGCTTATAAAGGAATGTGATTCCTGCACCAGACTGCGTGGAAGGAAACCTCTGCTCCACCACCCAGTTACTTAGCAAGTTGCTTAACTTCTCTAAACTTGAGTTTCCTTGTCTGTGGAATGGGGACTTCACACACACACACACACACACACACACACACACACATAAATAAAATAATGAATGGAAAATGCTTGGCACAAAGTATTGCTCAGTACATATTGCTGTTGTTACTTTTTAAAATTATTATGGTCACTTTTGCTATAGATTTTTTGGTCCTCAATTGTAAGAATACTAAAGGATAGAGAAGAGTATCAAAATAGTCAATGATGGTAATATTCCTTAATAAAGCAAATGTAAATGTAAGTGCCTGTTCCACATATAAATACAACTCATATTCAGCACAGAGCGGGAATGGGGAACCATCTGGGAGATGGTACCTGAGTGACTAGGAAGCAACATCTATCACAGAGATGAGATTCCATTTCATGGAGTCTCCTTCTTAGACAGAGTTCCTAATATCTTATTTTTGTGCATGTGTTGGGGTGGAGGGTGTATTGTGGATTGAACCTAGGTGTAATCTACCACCAGTCTGGCCTGCTTCAATAGAATCATATGT